AGAGAGCCTCAGCTGCGAAGTGATATGCTGGCAAACCCCACCAGCCAGAAACATGATGATGATCCGGCCAAAAGAGCAGCGCTTCAGTCAAGACAACACCTGATCAGTGTGAGGCAACTAAGGACCCCGGGGCTGGCAGGTAAGTATCTGCTGGGGTGATTACAGCATTCCCCTTTAATTAGCTCCTCCACATGTTCCCGGCCCCACTGGGCATGGCTGAGCACCCCTCAACACAGGCTCCAGAAAGAGCCCATCCTTCTAGTCAGTCTGTGTCCAAAGCCACAGCCCAAGAAGAGCCAAAACCCAAAACCTAAGCCACTAGTGGGCTAGCTCTCTCCCAGCACAGCCCTAGCTCCTGTCCAGTGAACACAACTAGATCACGGCACCCAGCAGCCAGTGAGGGCCAAGAAGCAGTTGCACCAGGGCCCTGGTATGAGGACAAGGGCAAAGTAAGCCTAAGACAGGTGAGGAAACTAGGCCATGGCAGGTCAACTTTGCCCAACAGGCCCAAGCTATAAGTAGAGGACAGAGAGCCAAAGTACCAAGAGGCAGCTCAGTTGCTGATACCTGAGGTAAGAGGCTCAGGGTGGCTCTGGGCCAACTGGGACATAAACCCAAGAGGCCACTGGAGGCCTGGGACCCAGTTCTGGGAGATGGCATTGCAACAGCACACAGCATGTGAGATCATACCCCCGGTGGGCTGACTGCCAGGCTGCCTGCAGCTCCTGCTCTTCCTACACAAACAAGCCAAAGAGAAGGTTCACAGAAGGAACCCAAAGGCAAACCCAGACCAGCATTCGCCCTCTGCTCAGCATCTCCACTGGGAAGGAAGCTGAGGAAATCAACCCCACAGATCTATGCACCGGATGCTCAGGGCAGTGGTGTCCAGGGATTCAACCGAAAACCTACAGCCAGGGAGCCGTTGAACAAAGCAGGGCCTGACTCAGTGGGGCAGTCATTTATGCCACCAGACAGGAGGTGCACTGTCCCCAGGATTGCCCTGGAGCTCAGTACGAAGCTGTGGTGCTGGAGACTGAACTTGGGCCTGTGCTGACTAGGCAGACACCCCAGCACTGCGCTGGCGTCCCAGTGTTCTACGCACCTCCCCACGGAGCACATCTACTTCTTTTGCCTTTGTTTATTTCGGTGCTGGGCATGGAATCCAGGACGTGCTAGGCAAGCACTGGACAACCGAGCCACACCCCAGCCTCCCTCTCACCACCTTCAATTTCAAGTTAAATAAAGATATCAATTAGCAAAAATGTAGACTATAAAACTGCATATTTACCTTGCTCCCAATTATAATAGTCTTCTATTCAGATTTTAAAAAGTGGGACTATGGCAGCAAGTGCCAACTGCACTGTGCTCGGGAGACCTGCCTGCTGCGGGTGAGCAGCCGCATAGTGCTGCAGCAGGCTGTCTGCCTGGGCATACCTCAGAGACTCTGTAGTCAAAGGTCAGCTTCTTCCCCTTCACGCCTTCATTGAGGGTTAGGATGAAGCCGATGTAGTCAGCATACGCCTGCCAAACAGAGAGGAGAATGGGCAAAGGAGGTAGTGTCAGAGCTCACCTGCCCCAGCTGCCCTGGCTCCCAGCCCAGCAGCAGGACGACACAGATAACGACAGATACTCACACACCTCCCTGGCAATAAGGCATGCCACACAGTGACAAACCAGCACAGCCAACGCCTCAGTCAAGGTTCACCAAGTGCTCACGGTAGCTGCCGACAGTTTCTTTATACAGCGCCACAAGTCAGATACTATTGTTCCCATTTACCAGTAAGGAAAACCAAGGCTTCAAGGGGAGAAATAATCAGCCCAAGGTTTCCTAAAACCAAGATCTCATCAGTCGTGGAGGCAGAGCCCAGACAGCCTACCTCCACAGCTGAGTAGCCAAGTGCCTGACTGCTCTGCCGTGCCAGCAAGAGTTCAAGGAATGTCCAAGGGTCCCTCCCCAGGTCGTCTTCCAGCTGTCTCCCCAGGAGACGGGTCAAGTGTCTGGTGCAGTGCAGATGCTCTGCCTCCATAAGGAGCCAGGTCTCCTAGCACACCAGCCCTGCTTCTACCAGACTCTCCTCCTGCTGTGCTGAGGTGACTCCACACAGGGAGAAGAAAATATAGAGATGCAACCCCAGGAGGCGGCTGCTGAGGGAATGCCTCATTGTCTTGTCTCTTCTTCATCCCTTGGTCCTCCTACTTTCTTCCTCCTCCTCCTCCTCCACAGTAACGGGTGCTGGAACACCCATGACAAGTCCTGAGAACAAGCATGGCCCACCTAGAAGGGGGCATTTCTACACCATGGCCCTCTCGCCAGCCTATGGGATGGACCCAGGAGGCTGGGGGCGCGGGGGAACGGATGGACCACGCACAACAGCTTTCCCTGAACAGGAGCCTTTGTCCTGCACACACTGGAATGCAAAAGGTGGTGTCACATCTGGATCCAACAGGTAAGTTCAAGGCAAGGGATGGTTTTCAACTGGGGTGACTCAGCTCCCAGGACATCCATCAGTATCTGGAGACACTTTCAGTTGTGACAGCCAAGGGAAGGGGGTTGCTGGCACCTAGTGGGTACAGCTAGGGGAGATCCCACCGTGCACAGGACAAGCCCCTCCAAGAACCACCTGGCCCAGATGCCAACAGTGCTGAGGCTGAGAAACCAGGCCAAGCAGCCGGGCAAAAGGACTCGACCATGTCCTCTGAGCAGCTGAGGGACTGAGGTGCCCATCCTGGTAAACACACAGGAAAGAGCCTGACAACCAGCTGCAAACATGAGCGGGCCGACGTGTGGAAGAAGGGACAGGCGCCTGCACCCACTGAGGGTGGAGCAAGGCAGGCGGGCTGAGCAGAGTAAGCAGGGCAGACTGGAGTGGACGATCCACCACACAGGCAAGGGCCCATGCCTGCCATCTGTGCAAATGAAGTCCTGTGGCAGCTGTGGGCCTGGCCTTGGGGCCTGACTGGAGCTGGGCCCAAAGCCTTCCCTGAGAATTCAAAATGGTCTCTTTTTCTCAGTCCCCACAGACCAGATCAGAAGCCTAGGAGGTACAAGCTGTTTTCTTCTGCCCACCATCTGGGCTGAGCAGCAGAGAAAGCCAGCTTGTAGCCGGGTGTGCTGGGTCCCAGTTCTTAGCTATTTTTAGGTCAGCCATGTCCCTGGCCAAGGCATCCACAAGCTGGCCTTCCCTTTGCTGCCCTGGCTCCCACATCTGTGGCTCCTTGCAACCAAGAATCAGTTCAGCATAAGGATACTCAAGGAGTGATGACTTCTAACCATAGTGACTGCTGTGGCCCAGGACTCACAGGCCCAGACCTTCCTGATAAAGCAACTGTGGACTGACTGCGCCTGAGGGAAGGGACAGTCAGCTCCCCTCTAACCTCACTTCCTAGTTCTGACAGCTGAGGCTCCAAAAGCAGGAGGGCCAGAGACACATAGTCCTGGCCTGGAAGCCACTGTCTAAAAAGATTCAAGTTCTCACGCCAGTCAACCCTGAAGTGCAGACGCTGCTGGTACCTGAGAACGCTTCCATTTGCCCATATCTGGAACTGTGTGGATCTCCTTTTTCGGAATGATAAAGTTTTGAGTGGCTGGAGGGGTCTCCTCCGAAGAATCTTGACAAGGAAAACAAAAAGGCAAAGAGGTAAATAAAATCTTCCCGCCAACACAAGCACGCACGCGCTTCCTTCTCTCCCGTTTTCAAACCAAGATTTCAGCAACTGAGCCCTGGTAGATCCAGACATACTTCCAAGACAGTTCAGCCCAACCCATGGTCTCCTGTCTTCCTCATTCTACAATGAGAGAGAAGAGGAAGAGGGCTCAGATGATTAAGTGCTTGTCACACAAGACTTAGAACCTGAGTTCAGATCCCCAGTACACACATAAAATCTGGGTTCAAGCTGGTGGTGGCATACACCTTTAATCCCAGCACTAGGGAGGCAGAGGCAGGAGGATCTCGGTGAGATCAAGGCCAGCCTGATCTATACATAGAGTTCCAGGCCAGCTGGAGCTACAGGGAGACCCAGTCTCAAAAAAATCTGGGCCTGGTGGCACATGTCTGTAATTTCAGCACTGAGGAGGCAGAGCCAGTCTAGCAAAATCTGTGAGCTCCAGGTTCAGTGAGAGACCCTATCTCAAAAAAAAATAAGGTAGAGGGGGCTGGAGAAATGATTCAACAATTAAGAACACTTGCTGTTCTCCAGAACACTCGGATTCAATTCCCAGCACCCACATGGCAGCTAACAATCATCCGTAATTCCAATTCCAGGGAATCCGACACTCTTTTCTGGCCTCCATGGATATTACATACATGTAGTGCACTTATATACATGCAGGCAAAACACTGATACACATTAAAAATAAACAAACAATAAATAAATAAAAATAAAATTTTAAAGCCGGACGTGGTGGCGCATGCCTGTAGTCCCAGCACTTGAGAGGCAGAGGCAGGCGGATCTCTGTGAGTTTGAGGCCAGCCTGGTCTACATAGTGAGTTCCAGGACAGCTGGGGCTACAGGAAGACCCTGTCTCAAAATAAATAAATAAATAAATAATAAATAAATAAATAAAATTTTAAAATAATAGGGCAGAGAATGATTGAGGATAACATCTAGCACCAACCTCTGGTCTCTATGCACACACACCTGTGCACACGAGCACACGCACGCACACACACACACACACACACACACACACACACACACAAAAATACATGAAATTGACTGGCAATCTCTCCAGTAACCATGCCTCTCTGCTCCCTAATTGGGCAAGGCATAAAGAGAAAATGAAGCCAGGCATAGTAGCACACACCTGTAACCCTAGGACTTAGGAAGCTGAGGTAGATTCAAGGCCAGCATGAGCTACACAATGAGTTCAAGGGCAACCTGGGCCTGTCTCAAAAGAAAAGGCCAGGCATGGTGGCGCATGCCTGTAGTTCCAGCACTTGGGAGGCAGAGGCAGGCAGATCTCTGTGAGTTTGAGGCCAGCCTGGTCTACATAGTGAGTTCCAGGACAGCGAGACCCTGTCTCACCCTGTAGCCCCAACTGTCCTGGAACTCACTATGTAGACCAGGCTGGCCTCAAACTCACAGAGATCTGCCTGCCTCTGCCTCCCAGTGCTGGGATTAAAGGTGCCACACCCGGCAAGATCCTATTTCAAAACACACACACAAAAAAAAAAAGAAGAGAAGAAAAAGGAAATCAAGTTGACCTCTTATACCTCCACAGGCAATTAGAAAAAAACCTCAACCAACACTTGAAAAAACTCACCAACCTACTGAATAAGCAAAGACAGAGATATTACATGGGGTCTCTTTTCCCAGATAAGGTTGGAAAATTAAAACCATCCGGCATTGATCTGAGGAAGGGGCATCTCTCGTGCAAACACGCCAGTGGGGACACTGGCTAGCAGGCCATTCCACTCTACCTTTTGAGGTTAAAAACTGCACATAGTAACCACAGAGCTAACGTATCCTTCAGATGTGTCAGAGAAACAAAGGGAAACACGGCAGTGGCACTGCCTGGGAAAATGAGAAACATCCCAAGTGCCAATCGGTAAAGAACTGGTTAGATAATGATATGGCACATCATGGAACTCTTCGTGGCCTTTGTTTTTATGGGTTTTAAATTTTTTATTATTTTTACTTTAAGTTACATGCTGTGTGTCTGTGTGGGGCTATGCTCATGTGTGAGTGCAGGTGCCCTTGGAGGCCAGAGGCATCACATCCCCTAGAGCTGGAGTTACAGGCAGTTGTGAGCCGCATGATGTGGGTGCTGGGAACCAACTGCTCTGTAAGAACAGCACATACTCTTAACCACTGAGCTTGTTTTGAACTCATGACAATCCACCCACCTCAGCCTCCTGATTAAACCTGAGTGACCACATCAGGCTTCTTAATATATTTTAGTTATTATTTTTATTTTATGTGTGTGAGTGTGTTGCCTGCGTGTATATAAGTGTACCCGTGTCGTGCAATGCTCATGGAGGTCAGAAGAGGGAGTTAGAATCCCCTGGAACAGAAGTTGTGAAAGGTTGTTAGCCCCCATGTGGGTACTGGGAATTAAACCCAGGTCTTCTGCAAGAGCAGCCAGTGCTCTTAATTGCTGAGTCATCTCTCCAGCCCCTCTTTATGGCTTTTAAAAGAAATAAAATCTATATCAGAGGCATAAGAAAAACAGTCCAGATATTTAAAAGGGAAGAGAAGTCACTATTTTAGTACAATCCTGTTCTTGTTAAAAAAAAAAAAAAGGGGGGGGGGCTGGAGAGATGGCTCAGCGGTTAAAAACACTGAATGTTCTTGCAGAAGACCTGGGTTCGAATCCCAGCACCCACATGGCAGCTAACAACTGTCCATAACTCCAGTTCCAGGGGATCTGACAGCCTCTTCTGTCCTCCACAGGAATTGCACGACACGGGTGCACTTACCTACACACAGGCAATACACGCATACACATTAAAAAAAATAATAAATTTTTAAAAAAACTATTCTATTAAAAATAGCATACACATACAGTACACACACCAGAAAAATCTACAGGATAAACACCAAAAGTTACTAATGGTCAGACAGTTTGGACTTCCACTTTTGAAACTACATATTCCAAAATTCCAACAGGTCTGAAAACCCCATTTCGTTTCGTTTTACAAATAAATTGATAGGAAGACATTTGTAGGCTTTGTAACCCTACTTGGTGAAAGCATTTATACATTTTGATGAAATAATTTTTCTTGGCTAGGGGGTATACCATATCCTGAAATATGAGAAACTAAGCTCACTTTTTTGGGGAGTCTTTTTGAGGCAGGATCTTCCTACAGCCCCAGCTGGCCTGGAACTCACTATGTAGACCAGGCTGGCCTTGAATTCACAGAGATCTGCCTGCCTCTGCCTCCTGAATGCTGGGACTAAAGGCCTGCGCCACCACACCTGGCAAGCTCACTTTTTTTAGGGTTTTTTTGTTTTTGTTTTTGAGATAGGGTCTCACTATGTACCACTGGTTGGCCTGGAACTTGCTATGTAGACAGGCTAGCCTCGACCTCGGAGATCTGCCTGCCTCTCTGCCTCTGTCTCTTGAGTGCTGGGATTAAAGAAGTGCACCACCATGCCTGCTAAAATACAGAAGCCAAACTCCAAGCAAGCCTTTCCTGTCCCCCATGCCTTCAAAGTTGGAAGCCCGACCCACAACTGGATGAGGAAAGGGGGGGGGTGTCAAATCAGGGCCCCAGAAAAGACCAGAAGCTATCCTCTGCCTCCCACCTATCCTGCACACCTTGTTCCCAAAGCCAAAAAAAGGCCCTACTATTAGTAAATTGCTACTTTAAATAAGATGCTAAATAAAAAACTTTGAAAGCCAGTCTGGTGACCCATCTACAGTTTATGGGAACATGGTTTATGGGATCATATTGTATGGGAAAGTGTTCCACATTCTAAATAATCAACTTGCAGATGATCTTTGGACATCTAACCCTCTTAAAAGAGAATTGTTCCCTGCAAGAATCTGCCTTTGGAGCCAGGCATGGTAGCACACACCTTTAGTCCCTGTACTTGGAGGCAGAGGCAGGTGGATCTCTGCGAGTTCAAGGCCAGCCTGGTCTACAGAGTGAGTTCAGGTGGTCACCTGGGACTACAGGGAGACCCTGTCTCCAAAAAGACAAAAAAAAAAAAAGAATCTGCCTTCAGAACACTATTTCACAGGGAAGAAAGCCTTCAGACCTGGTCATGTCCCCAAGAGGAAAGGGCCACGTTATAGGAAGCACATCAGTGAGTCATTGAAGAAAGACACACAGTTGCCAGAATACACAATCACAAGCCAAAGCCAAAGCCAAAAAAAAAAAAAAGTAAGAAGCCTTCAAAGACAGGACTGATGAGAGATCATATCCACCATCTCTCCAGATCATACCCACCATCTCTGCCAAAGAACCCAGGGGACAGCCGATTCCCAGCAACCTCATAGTTTAAGATTGTAACATCTAAAGTTTCAGACTTTCCTTTAAAAAAACTCCAGGCCCAGGGGCTAGAAAGATGGCTCAGCAATTAAGAACACTGGTTGTTCTTGCAGAAGACCCGGGTTCAAATCCCAGCATTCACATGGCAGCTAACAACTGTCCTTAACTCCAGTCCCAGGGGATCTGACAGCCTCTTCTGACCTCTGCGGGCATTGCACGACATGGGTGCACTTTCCTACTTGCAGACAATACACGCATACACATAAAAATAAATAAATAAAAATAAATAAATAAAAAACCCCAGGCCGGGCATGGTGGCGCACGCCTTTAATCCCAGCACTCAGGAGGCAGAGGCAGGCAGATCTCTGTGAGTTCGAGGCCAGCCTGGTCTTCATAGCAAATCCAGGCCAGCTGGGGTTACAGGGAGACCCTGTCTCAAAAAGACCAAAAAAGAAAAAGAAAAAAAAAAAGAAAAACTCCAAAAGCAGTCAGGTGCAGTGACACGATTGTAATCCCAGCACTCGGGGTAGAGGCAGGAGGCAGGAGGATGAAAGCTCTAGCCAGCCTAGGCTAGCCAAAGAGACCCTGTCTTAAAACAAAACAAAACAAACTGAGCCTGGTGGCCCAAGTCTACAATCCCAGATCTAGGGAGGTGAAGGCAGAAGGGTCAGGAGCTCAAGTTCATCCTTGGCTACATGATGCGTTCCAGGGCAGCCTGGGTTATATGAGACCCTGTATCAAACCCACAAAAACAGGAGCTGAAGAGATGGCTCAGTAGTTAAGAGTGCATGGTGCTCTTGCAGAGACATCTGTTCTCAGAACCCACATCAGGCAGCTCTGGCTTCCTCAGGCACCTGCAGTCACACACACACACACATACACACACACCCGAGCCGGGCATGGGGCGCACGCCTTTAATACCAGCACTCGGGAGGCAGAGGCAGGCAGATCTTTGTGAATTCAAAATATACAGAGAAATAACTATATTGGGAAAATTTATGTATTAATAGTAGTGATTTTCAGAATATATTAATTCCCTTAATTTAGGCATGTACATTCTATTCTATAATCACAGTTTCCAGGGTATTAGCATTAGTTTTGTGCCTAAACGGTTTCTGTGCTCAATGCTCAGCCTCTTGATAGAGACTGTCGGTAACCTTCTGAGAATGCTTCTTTGGAATGCACACATTGGAACATTTCCTGAATTCTTATATGAGCCAAAAAATGTCTTCCTTTTGTTTATGGAAGAATTATTGCAGAATGTCTTCCATTTTTAATTTTCTGAAGATTTGCTGAGCAAACATTGATTCATTTTCTACAGATATTAAATGTTGCTTAGGAGACTGAGGCCAGCCCCTTATTCCTTCACTGATACTACTTTTATCTTTTTTGGTCTTTTGACTATATGCTAATATATACTTACTGTTAATTCTTGAGTATTTTTAGTTTGATTGTGATAAATGCTTTTTTCAGTTTGCATATTTGATTTTCTTGATTTCTTAATTTGTGGGAAGATTTAAATATCTTCTAGCCCGTTTTTTATTTATACCTTTATTTTATTTTATTGCGGTGATAGGGATTGAAGCCAGGTCCTTGCACATTCTCAGCAAGCACTATACTGATAACTACATCCCCAGGCTTGCTTAATTCTTTATGTTCCTCGCTTATGTTTAAATTTAGATTTATTTTGTATAGCTTTTATAGCTATATCATGGCATTTTAAACCCTTTAAAACTTCATATTTGTTTACATTTCTTTTACGCTTGAAAAGTTCTGTATACTAACTGTCCCCTATTGGAGTTTTCTCAGTATGTTTTCCTTTGTGGTATTTACAATTTGGTTTAGTATTCTTTTTCTGTGGGAGACCACGTTGCCTGGCAGCCCTCCCTGCCCCCCAGGGCAAGGCCTCCAGAGAACTTGCTGATCAGTCCTCCCTGCCCCCTAAGATAAGCAGCCCGCCTTTAGTCCCAGCACTCAGAGGCAGAGGCAGGGCATTCTCTCTGAGTTCAAGGCCAGCCTGGACTACATAGTGAGTTCCAGGCCAGCAGGGAGACCCTGTCTCAAAAAAAAAAAAAAAAACACATGCCCAAAACATACTGTAAATGTTGCCCCAAGGAGCACGCTGGGTCATCACTTCCTGTTCAGAGCCAGCCCTTGTTGGCATTCCCTGAGTACCACCATGCCCACACTTGCTCACAGCTGACTGTGCACACAACTCCATTAGGAAAGTAGAGTAGCCTCATTTAAAAAATTTTTTGGTCTTGCCAGGCTTGGTGGCGCATGACTTTAATCCCAGCACTCGGGAGGCAGAGGCAGGCAGATCTTTGTGAATTCAAGTTCATCCTGGTCTACATAGTGAGTTCCAAGACAGCTGGGGCTACAAGGAGACCCTGGCTCAAAAAAGACAAAAAAAAAAAAATTTAACTCCTGTTTCAAACTTCAAAAAGGGCTGCCTCCTCTGGGAACCTGGATCTTTCCAGAAGCCAGATAACCTTCCAAAGCTTTTTCTTTCAGTGCCTGTGGGAGACCACGCTGCCTGGCAGCCCTCCCTGCCCCTCAGGGCAAGCAGCCTCCAGAGAACTTGCTGATCAGTCCTCCCTGCCCCCTAAGATAAGCAACCTTTCCGATGATTCAAGATAAGCCTGAACAACCACCAATTTCCTTAGCCTGCAACCAGACTCAGGGCGCCAGGTCCCCTCATCCTAAGGGACATTCATTAACCTGTTGAGATAATACCTTCCCTCCCTCTTCCCCAGCTAACTTCCCGCTTCAGAATCCCCGTGGAAAAATAAACTTTGGCAGCTTGATCAGAGTTCTTTGTCTTGCTGTCATTCTTCGTGTCTCTTGTCCCATCATTCCAGGTCCCTGGGAGTTCGAGTCTCCGTCTCCCGCCCTGCAGGTCGGGGCAAGTGTCCATGTTTTGACCCCCAAACACCTCTTCCCAGGTCATCTTCAGGGACACTCATCTAAAAATAACTCTGGTTGCCCTATCAGTCATGTCTCTTGATTTTATCACCTTAACTTACTAAAACACATGAATGGAGGTTTGGGATAATTTAAAATAAGTGTCTGAGTTGGCTGTGGTGGCACCAGCCTTTAACCCAGCACTTGGGAGGCAGAGGCAGGAGGATATCTGTGAGACCGAGGCCAACCTGGTCTACATAGTGAGTTCCAGGGAGACCCTGTCTCAAAAAGACCAAATAAATATAAATAAGTAAATTGTAGATATAGATAGAGTCTGGTTTTGAATTCCCTGACAGAGAAAGCCCGGGACCGTCCTCATCTACTGGGCGGACAACCACAAATGGTGCTTCTTCTTTCACAAAATGTCTCATTCCTGAGACTTTCCCAGGGACCACACCATGTGAGGCAGAACAGAAGGATCAGGAAAAGCTTTCAAAGCACGAGCTGTCTTTAGCCAACCTATGACTTTTCAAAGTTATCTATGGTCAGTCCTTCTACAAACCACCTTTCTCCTGGGGGGCAAAGAACCGGGGTCTCCATCGGAAGATCCTGGCCTGCACATCCCGCCCCAATTAAGGGACATGAACTCCAATGAGGCCACCGGTGTAAAACCGAAGTTCCGGGTGATGATGCCACCAGCTCTCTCATCTTGCACAAGCAGACGGTTTAAATGAGTGGTTTGGACACCACGGGTAGTTTCGCTCTATAAACTCTGCAGCCACTGAAACCCCGGGAGGGAGCGATGGGGTGGGAGGTAACGTGGAGGGCGTGGAGGAGGCAGGCTTGGGGCGAGTCAGGCCCAGGCACATCCCAGCAGGCTTGGACCAGGGATGCTGGAGTTCCCGGCGCCCCCCATCCCTGGCATCATCTCTACCCCCATCCCTGGCATCTCTGGCCCCCAGGTCCAGCTCGGGGTGTGGGGGTGAACACGAGCACACACGGCCCCGATGAGAGGCCTCCCTCCACCAGCGTTGCGGGGTCCCCCGTCCGCAGCCCCCGGTTCCTCTCCAGCCCACCTCGACCCACCCGCCCTACCTGGCGGCGGCTGCCGCTCGCCCTCAGCCATCTTCTCCCGTCGATGCTCGCGGTCCGCTCTCACCGTCCACCCCGCAGCACTTTCCCTCTCCCGGCTCCACCGAGCTGAGCACTGAGCGCCGGCCAGCTACAACCGGAAGCCGAGAATTAAAGTCACCCCCGGGAAGGCGGCCGCCGTGCGGGCGCAGGGCGCTCAGGGAGCATGCCCACCAACGGCCGGCTCTGGGCGCCCGCGCCGGCAGCGGCGACGGCCATATTGGTGCCGGGCGCCGCGGAGCATGCGCACCAACGGACGCAGCCTACCCCGCAACCGCTGTCGCGGCCGCCATATTTGTGCCGGGCAGCAGGCTTCAGTAAGGGGATGGGAACGCTGTGGCAGCCATGTCTGGGGGGGCGGGTGTCAGCTGTCATCTTTGTGCGTGGCACGGAGTCTAACCCAAGGAATCCGAGACATCCCTGTCAACATGGTTGTGTTTTCCTGCCACTCTACGAGTGATGTTCAAGGGCAATCGGCCTTCGATGCACAGCACCGCCCCCAACAACTCAGGCGGCGTTTGGAGGCGGAGAGCGAGCAGCGCAGTGACCTCAGCTGCGACCCCGTGCCGGAGGCCCTCCCAAGCGGCTTCAGCCGCTAACTAAGCCCGAGGCCTAGTCCCGACAGGTCGCGAGCAGGCCCAGACAGGCACCCCACCCCCCGAGGCCCCGCCTTGGTCCCGCCCCCGGCTCGCGCCTAGCCTCCCCGGGCTGCACCCGCTGAGGCTCCGCCCCGCGAGCCCTACTCCACCTGCCGCCCGCCGGGCCCGGTGGGCGCGGGGCCTCCTCCGCCCTCTGTGGCGTGACTCGGCGACCTTGAACCTAGCTAGAACCCTAGTTGGGGACTCACTGACCCCAGCCGCGGCGCGGACTTTGTGAGAGGGGCGGAGCGGACCGAGTGTCCGCAGGCGGACCCTAAGGATGTTAGCCTTTGCCACCAGGACCTGGGTGAGTGCGGCCAGAGTCCGGCCCCGATGCCCCGAGACCGGGCAGGGCGGGTGAGCCCCGAGCCAGGCGGGCCGCGCAGCTGCGGCTGCACTGCGGCCCTGGCTGGCAGGTTGCAGTTTGTAAAGTGGGCAGAGGCGGTATCGAACCCGCGACCTGTCGAGGACTGGAGAACGGAGCTTTGGTCTGGCTACCTTTCCACACAGAGTGTTGAGCTCCATCCTCACTCTTCAGGCCCATGCATTCCTGCCCAGACCAGGGCCGCTTCTCCAAGCCTAGCTCAGTCTCCTTGAGTTTATCAGATACCCCGCCCCCCCCGTTTGTATGCGGTCAAGAGAACTTCAAATGGAGACCCCAGCGGGGCTATACAGAATGTCCCTCAGCTGGCAGGGGAAGCAGGTGGCAGCCCCTTCCCCACCCTATACCCGCTGTTGCTATCCCCTGAGCACCTTCTCCTTGGGATCCAAGCATATGTTCACAGCGAAGCCTCTGTCTCAGACACTGGGCTGGCAGCTGAGGGTGCCCATCCTCAGACAGACTGTTCTAGATGGTCTAGCAGCACCTGAAACTAGCCTCACACTTTCCACAGAGCTGTGCCCTGTCCCACAGACTGCTGTTACATCATCCTCTGGGACCACCACACTGGCCTGATCACTTTACAGCTGGGGAAACTGAGGCAGGAGGCACTTGACCAGATCCTATGAGTGTGCTATTTCCCAATCCCAAAATTAGGTTCTTTGACTTATTTTTCATACCAGAAGTCCTTCCATTTTTGACCCCCATCTGAATGAGCCGGAGCTTAGAAAAAAATAGATTTTGGAGAAGGAGTGGCCACCAAGGGCCCCAGAGTCTAGAAGGAAAATGGATGGGCAAGGTTTGTGGCAGCCGCTGTCCACTGGTGGCCCTTTCTTGGCGTTTCCTGCTTTTCACCAGTCCCAACCAAGACTAATTTCAGGACCATGAGTTAGCGGCCAGACTGTTTCCATCCTGTAGCCAAGTTTTCCCACATCAAAAAGATCTATGCAGATTTTGGCAGGTGGATTTTTTAATACCTGTTGGCCTGCCTCCCTGGCGCTGGGCCCATCCAAAGAAGAAAGGTTTCCAGGTTTCCTCCTCCTCCAGTGCTTTCTACCGGCACACTCAACCTGCCCCCCATTCCTTCTCTTCTGGAAGCTGGAGAGGGTAAAGTGGCCACTGCAGTCCAGTAGCCCCACTGCTACAACCTTAGTGGCCACCACATCTGTGGATTCTGCCCACTGCCCCCTCTCCCCCTGAATTTTCTTGTCTTTTCTTTCCAGCCCAGGCAGGTGACTGTCTCTTGCTAGTTTCTGCTCATCCACTTGGTAGCACAGTTAGTCTTAGAGATCCAGCCAAGGCAGACAGACAGGGCTCACAACCTCAGTCCTGCCATGGAGGACGAGCAGCAGACAGAGAAGGTATGGACCAGGGTATCTGCTGCTTGCGTGCCTCTGCGCCAGCAGCCTGGGACCTTCCTGTCTCTCTTCCTGCTACCTACAGTCTCTCTCAGGTTCCCTCCACCTGTCTCTTTCTGCCACCTATCACCCTCCATGCCTGGCTACTCTGCAATCTCTGCAGCACTGCCTCATTCCCCATACCCCCATCCATAGTCAAGAAGAAGCCCGGAGGCTGAAGACTCACCCACAGGCGCTCTCACTGACTCCTATTTTCAATCTCCTCCTATTTTTCAAGATGGAAAAGGTGGGGGGAAAAGAAGTTGGGAACCTCGGCTCAGAGAGCTAGCTGCCACCTCTCTGCTGGCTGGTTCACCTTCCCAGGACAAGAAGGGGGAGGGGGTCTTGTGCATCCAGACAGGTGGGAGGCCCCCTCACCTCTGCCACCCCAAGTGCCATTCATCTCCACACCCCAGCCTTCCCCATCTTTCCTACACCTCCAGGCCCCAGAGAGGCGGGACTCCTGCAGCTTGAGGGCTGGGCAGCGAAGGGGGGGCACCACCCATGAAGCTGTCTCTGCCCCCAGGGGTGACACTTAAGAACCCAAGACTGCAGTTTGGGGAGAGCTGGGCTCCAGTCTGGGAAAGAATGAACAGCCTGTTCTGCCTCCCGCAGGTGAAGCCCCTGGGCCTCCTCAAGCCTTCCTCCTTGATAAAGGTTTCTGGCCGCTTGAAGGCTCACCAGGATGCACTGCCGCGGCTGCCTGTGCCCCGACTCCAACAATCCCTGGACAGTTACCTCAAGGCGCTACAGCCCATCGTGAGCGAGGAAGAGTGGGCCCACACCAAACAACTGGTGGATGAGTTTCAGACTTCGGGGGGTGTAGGGGAGCGCTTGCAGAAGGGGCTAGAGCGCAGAGCTAAGAAGATGGAGAACTGGGTGAGTGAGACGGCAGGGTGTTGATGGTCCCCCCAGAGGCCCTGGGTTCTCCTGAGCATCCCTCAGGTTGCCGATTGATGGCTGCACCCCCACAGTCTCCCCTTACCAGCCGTTCTGGCATATTTGCCCCTGAGCACTTAACATGTGCCTGGCACTCAGCAAGTGAGGGGTGAGCAAGAAGGGCCTGGTTGCCACCCTTCAGAGCTGGCATTCAGTCGGGGTCGGGGGAGAAAGATGAGAAGCAGGATTGCAAGTCAGTAGGCCTGAAGTTGTTTTAGGCAGGAAAGTTCCGTGGAAATAAAAACAGGTCATGTGGACAAGAGGTGTGGCTCTGTGGTAGAACACTTGCCTAGCATGTGTGAGACCCTAGGTTCCATCCCCAGGACTGAAGGGAGGGGGTAGGTAAGTGAGAAGGAGTGAGGGATGTGAATGGCAATGTCTAACAGAGGGAGGGCAGAGAAGGAGGTATTGGATTTGAGACCTGAGGGCAGAGGTGGCACAGCATGTCATGCTCTGGGACCAAGCCTGGGCAGGAGTGGACTGCAGAGCAAGGTGAGCAGGCAGAGGCACTGAACATGGCACTTAGGCTTGATGGGACAGCCTCAGGCAGGGAGTTTGTGTCAGCCTGTGGCTGCCTAGATGGCCCTTGTTCTGTCTACACTAGCACATTATTCAGGTCTCTGTATTCCTGTTAGGCACAAAGATTTAAAAAAAATAACCCTAGGGGTTGGGGATTTAGCTCAGTGGTAGAGTGCTTACCTAGCAAGCACAAGGTTTGGTCCTCAGCTCCAGAAAAAAAAAAAATAAAAATAAATAACCCTAAAGCCAGGTGTGGTGACGCACACCTTTAATCCCAGCACTAGGGAGGCAGAGGCAGGCAGATCTCTGCGAGATCAAAACCAGCCTGGTCTACATAGGGAGTTCCAGGTCAGCTGGGGCGACAGGGAGACCCTATTTCATAAAACCAAGACAAATAATAATTTTTTTTTAAAAAAAGCCCCAGCTGCTGGGAGGGAAGCAAGAGCAGGAACCAGAGGGATGAGACCAGTACCTTCACCTGGAGGGGCTGTTGGTGGCTAGGCCTGGTGCTTCATAGAGACAGGGCAAGTCCTGAGACCCAGGACTGTTTGGAAGGCAGCCAGTGGCACTTGCTAATGCAACGGGACTTGGATTGGGTAGTCCCTGTTTAAAGCAAGTGGGGAGAAGGGGGTTATCAATATAAAGGTGCCCAAGAAACAAGCTGGCTATGGGGGACAGCCAAAGCTCGGTTCTGGTCCTATGAAATATAGTCTGTACAGGGTATCGGTTCCACAGATCGCCCCCTTCCAGTACCAAAATGCACAGATGTTCAATCCCTTAAGGAGTGCAATGTTTGCATCTAACTGAAATACCCCTCCTGTGTGCCCTGAGTCATCTCCAGAGGACTTACTGCTAATGCAGTGTAAGCACTATGTCAACAAGTATGCGGTAGAGTTTAAAGAATAATGACCCCAAAAATGGAGGTCTGTACATACATGTTCAGTCCAGATGCAGTAGACGTGGAACCAGCAGATCTGACTGACAGGACAGGATGAGGAAGTAGGAAGTACCTACTTCCATTGGAGCCTGTGGCCACATGTAGGAGTTGTTGGGGACAGGCAGCTGAGGCCCAGAAAGGTAGAGCAAAGTCCAAATCCTTGCAGTAGCTCTCAGGGAGACCCTGAGCTACACAGGAAGGCCTGGCCGGCTCAGGGGGCCCAGTTCTTGGCTGTGAGTCAGCAGATGGTAGTTACCTGGAACCCAGCTGGAGCAAGTAACTTCCTCTTGCCAAGGGCCGAAGGCAAGTGGCCTAATGCCACAGGCCAGCCGTTCTACGAAGATAGTCTATGTAGTGACTATCCTACTGCTATTTGGGATGGAGCGGAACACAGTGAGAGGTCTGGATCCCAAGAGGTTGAGGGACCTGCAAGAGACAGGTGCTGAGGTGGGGTTGCCATCAGCACAGAAGGCTCGAGGATACCAGGCACCTGGAAGTGTGCACAGCCCCAAGATAACCTTTAATGCCATGCCTGTGGCTGCCCCCCTGGGACCCCCCAGGGCAGAGAAAGGGCCCATCTCACTCCCACAATAATTTACCCTCTCAGTGAGCTCCCCCCTCGGAATTGCCCAGATCTTGAGATGAAAGTAGATGTCCACTTCCAGTCTGAGGCCACTGTGGAGGACCAGCTCCTGCGGGCAGCCAGGACACAGGTTGCTTCTCCTCAGACAGCTCCCGACTGAGGATACTGAGAACTCACGCAATGAACTTTCTTTTCCTTTTGTTTTTTTTCTACCTATCTAGGGATGCATTTATGTTTATTTATACTAGAGTATTATAATCATTGATAGAGAATTTGTAAGATTAAGAAACCTGAAGACTAGGGGTATAGGGGGCTGGAGAGATGGCTTAGCAGTTAAGAGCACTGACTGTTCTTGAAGAAGACCCAGGTTCGAATCCTAGCATCCACATGGCAGCTAACAGCCATCTGTAACTCCAGTTTTTGGGGGACCAATGCCCTCTGCTGACATGAGTGCACTTCACACATGCAGAAAATACACTCATACACAAAACAAGAAAACAAAAAGACTAGGGTGTTAGCTCAGTGGTAGAGCACGTGTTTATTAGCAGATATGAGAGCCTGGGCTCAATCCCCAGCACCTCAAAAACTAAGAGAAGAATCTCTGCTCGCCTCCCACTCCCCGCCAGTTCCCTTCCGGTCTTTTCTCTCCCATCTCTTCTCTTTGGTACTCATTGCTCAGCGAAGATGATGGGGTGGGGAGGCAGGGGAGGGTGCTGTGGACCTCAGCATTCAGTGGGAGACTCTGTGCTGCAGAGAGACCAGAGGACACCAGGCCCAGCCAGGTCCCTGGTCCTGGGGAGGAAGGGGACACCAGGTCCCCATGCCCTACTCCTCATGAGCTCTGGTCCTTGTCCAGCTGTCTGAGTGGTGGCTCAAGACAGCTTACCTCCAGTACCGCCAGCCCGTGGTCATCTACTCCAGCCCAGGCGTGCTGCTGCCTAAGCAGGACTTCGTGGATCTGCAGGGTCAACTCCGGTGAGTGACTAAGGCTGGCGGGAGCAGCTGGTACACAGGGCTCTGTGGGCTTCCAGAACCCTCAAGTCTATTCCCTGGGAGATTGGAGGAACCTCGACCCTGTTCCTTTATCCCCACAGACAGCCTCATGAAGTAAGGAGCATCATCCATATCTTACAGATGGGGAAACTGAGGCTCAGTAATATAAGGAACCTCCACCTATGATTACCATCAAGAAGGCAGAGCCTCCAGTGCCAGAGCTTTGTAGCCATTCACTACCAAGCCTTGGCCTGAGTCCCTCTTCATCTCCTCAGATGGCCACACAATGACCTTTATACACAGTCCCCTTTTCCACATTCAACCATGTCACCTGCTCTGGCCCCTGTTCCACTCCTACCAGACCTAAAAATACCAACAGCAACAGCGGGAGCTCCTGCCCAGGAGGCTGCCACCAGCTGCTCCCACCAGCTTCTCTTAAAGAGGCCAGGGCAAGAAGAGAGGGAGGGAGAGGGGACGGCAGCATGCTTCAGTGGTCAAGGGATGTCTAGCATGCATGAGATCCTAGGATCCAGCTCTAGAATACACACACACACACACACACACACACACACACACACACACACATACATGCACGCGCAACACCAGGGCTGCCCCCTGGTTAGGGATGGGGCTCAGCCTAGGATGCATTGAAGGCAGAGTCCTGAGGGACATAATGGCTCAGAAAAAGAAAGGGGCTCAGCAGAGGGGACACTTGGATCTGGAGGGCTCCCTTTCCAACCTACCCAGTTCCACGAGTCTGTACATAACTGATGCTTTGGGCTATGGTTCAGGCCTGTGGCGTATGGTACCAGCCCCTGGTAACCCCTGATCTAGCCACAGTTATGGGGCTGAACAGCATCCAAGTCCTGCCAGGCCATCTCCCCCTCTGAGGCCTGCTGCAGACCTCCTGCTGGAGAGGACAAGGAAGAAGCTCAGAAGCCCCCCACCCCCGGTTGCTAGGTCACCTTGAGCTCCTCAGGACTCTGCATGCAGTACCTAGCCGATGTCCCTGGTCCAGGACTCCGCCTTGGATAGCCACACAATTCATGTCTCTGCTCCTTGCCTCCAGGTTCGCTGCCAAACTCATCGAGGGTGTGTTGGATTTCAAGTCCATGATTGACAAGTGAGCAGCCCTACCCCTTCCCTGACCTCCCTTACCCAGGCCTGCTAGCACCACAGCCACTCCTAACCCTTGCCCTGACCACCCAGTGTGTCAGTCTGGGCACTAGGCAGGCCTGCGTATCAGTCATTTTCACTCCCTGTTGGCTCAGCCTTGGAAAGGGTTTTGGGGACAGTGAACACTGGGGATTGAGACACTCAAGTTCTCTGCTTCTGCTCTTGGGACTTCTCATGGTGACTGTGTTGTCCCAGCCAAAATGGGTCACAGAGGTTGACTCATGAAGCCCAAGAGGGAGAGGGAGGGCATTTCTGGGTGATTCATAAATAGGGCCCCTGCTCCCTGGAAAGTACAGCACTCCTGACCCCTCCTACACTCTGATGGCCCCTGCTCGTGCTGGTGGTGAGTAGAGATACCAAGGGGTGGGTGCCACACCCTGCTCCCAGCAGGGCCAGCTGGTGTCTGTCCACCCTGGCCTCCTCTCCACTCACTTGCCCAATGACTTCCTTCCTGTCCGTTCCCCACAGCGAGACCCTGCCCATTGAGTACCTGGGGGGAAAGCCACTATGCATGAACCAGTACTATCAGATCCTGTCCTCCTGCCGTGTGCCGGGCCCTAAACAGGACTCAGTGGTGAACTTCATAAAGACCAAGAAGCCGCCCATGCACATCACTGTAGTGCATAATTACCAGGTGGGCACCAGTGCCCCTTCTGCAGAGCCCCCGCCCTACTCCAGCCCCTCTGCTGGCCCCAGACCACACCAGCTGTGACCTCCACTACCAAGCCAGAGGAAGCTGATGGGCATTCTCAGCCCTAGACCCTCCAGCCCCCTTCTCTCCCGTCTGTGCCTGGCAGTTCTTCGAGCTGGATGTGTACCACAGTGATGGAACACCGCTCACCTCAGATCAGATCTTCGTGCAGCTGGAGAAAATTTGGAACTCATCACTACAGACCAACAAGGAGCCCGTGGGCATCCTAACCTCCAACCACCGTAACACCTGGGCCAAGGCCTACAGCACTCTCATCAAAGGTGCCTCTGGGGTCAGGGGCTCCTTGTACACTTAAGTGGGCACAGAACCAGGCTGGGGCAGCCACCTGTCTCACTGGACCCTCAACTTGGAGCAGGTGTTGTTGGCCCATTTTATAGATGAGGAAACCAAGGGTCAGGTTGCCTAGGCTAGTTTCTCCCTTGTAAGTAGTAAGTTGGAATTAGACAAGTGCTCTGGGTAAGGCGCCCACTTCCCTACTTCTGCTCCTAGAACTCCCCACCAAATTCATACTGACCATGGGCATTGTCCTAGAGTCAGATCACTGACTGACTGCTGCACTAGCTCTCCATGTGACCCTGGCCTTTGCTCTGCTGTGTCTACAGTGGGCCACGTGTTGGGTCCTTCTCCTAAGATGGGCATGGGATGGCTGGAGACCTTGTGCGGGGGAAAGCTCTGAATATACATCCAGCAGGCCCTGGGGGCCCCCAATTTTATGCAAAAGTGAGGTCAAAAGAGCCCAGGACAGGAGATCACCGGCTCTGAGGCTTCTTACCCCCACCCTAACTCCTGCAGATAAAGTAAACCGGGAGTCAGTAAACTCCATCCAGAAGAGCATTTTCACCGTGTGCCTAGACAAGCCAGTGCCCAGGGTCTCAGACGATGTCTACCGGAACCAGGTGGCAGGCCAGATGCTGCACGGGGGTGGCAGCAAACTCAACAGTGGCAACCGCTGGTTCGACAAGACACTGCAGGTAAGTGAGGACCTGGTGGGGCCGTGACCCCCCCCCAAATGTATACCCAAGCTTGGTCCACCAAGACTCCGGACTTCCTGCCCTTCCTTGGGCCCAGCGTCCCCAGCCTCCTGCTTATAAAGCAGGCGGGAAGCGAGAGGGCTGGACGCTGCTGTAATTAGCAGGCAGCCAACCTGTCATTACCAGGCCTGCATGCCACTGCTCCCCCTAGAACAGATTTTCAGTACGTGAGAGACAGCTTGGAGTCTAAGGTCAGGCAGAGTGGTGCCATCTGGGCATGACATTCCCTCTGTGCTTATAACACGGTGCAGTAGAACTCTTGGGTGGCGTGCTTCTGTCAACCTGCTTCCAAGTTGTGCTGGGCACAGAGTGTGCCTGGGTGTACCCAAGGAATGTCACCACAACTCTCAGAGATGGCTTCAGGACCATTCCTGAGAGATCCCCCAGAGAATGGCTGGGGCAGGAGCCACCCCCCAGGGACCTGGGGCTGACAAGCTCCCTACCTGCCTGCAGTTCATCGTGGCAGAAGACGGCTCCTGTGGGCTGGTTTATGAGCATGCAGCAGCAGAGGGGCCCCCCATCGTCACTCTTGTGGACCATGTCATCGAATACATGTGAGTATGGTACACCCTCCTCCCTGGTTCCTGGTGACAGGTGGCATACAGGTGACATTTGTCCCTACTTTGAAGGAGTCTGTGTCTGTCTCTGTCTCGTCAAAGGCAGCAGCAGAGGCCATGTTTCTAGTCAGTTAGACCTGGCTTTAAATTCTGGCTCTGAGACTCATGTGAGGCGAGCCGAGGCTGAGCTCTGATCTGACAAGATGGCAGTGCTGGCAGAGCCTGTTCCTGGCATTAACGCAGAACCACATGAGAGCCACACCCATTATTTTCATGTGGTCCTTGCTGGCCCCCAGGACACCCCTTTGAGGGAAGGACTTTTAAACTTGAACTATTTCTTCCATAAGAATACCCAGTGGCAGCACCTACAGCACGTTTCGTGACCAAAAATTACCACCCCAATATAGGGAAGCTGGGAAGCGCAGGCTCAGGCATTCTGAAAGATCAGTGGTCCCTAGCACTACAGATCCACAGTTCTGCTGTCAGTCCAGGCTTGTTAAGTGCTCCTGATCCAGATGAGCTGTTAGCAAATAATGCAGCTGAGCAGTGAAAGACCAGCAAAACCCCACCACAGAAAGCAAGAGCATGGACCAGGCTCTACGCCATGAATCTGATCATCAGGTGTATGTCACTTCTGTTCTGCAGACTTCTTCCTTTCTGTTTGCTTTAGTGGACATTCTTAGAAACACAGAATAAAAGTCTAGGCATCTGTCTTTGGTGATTACGTGCACATAAGCAAATCTTTGTCCTGATTCACTGCTGTAAAATTTGAGCAGAGGCTAGCCTTGTCGTCTGGATTGTTGTGAGGCCACTATATGCAGTGTCTCTGCTTGCTTAATGTCCTAGTTTGCTTCTTCATTGCTGTGACAAAACACTCTGACCACTACCAACTTGGGGAGGAAAGGGTTTATTTTTCTTACATCTCCTGGGTCACAGTTCATCAGGAATTCGAGGCAGGAGCTGGAGCACAGGCCATGGAGGAACGCCGCTTATTGGCTTGCTCCCCTGGCCCCTGCTCAGCCTGCTTTCTTACACAACACCGGCCCACCTGCCCAGGGGTGGCACCACCCACAGTGGACTAGGCCCTCCCGCATTACTCAACAGTCAAGATGTCCCTCAGCCAGTTCTATGGAGGATATTCCCCAATTGAGGTTCTCTCAACCCAGGTGTGTCAAGTTGACACTAAAGCATCCAGCACAGTGAGTATAAAGCACTGTGAATGAAGGTTGTTGTCAGCTTGATTGTTTGAAGCAAAATGAGAACATTAAATATCACAGCCCTCACTAATTAAAAAAAAAACTTCTGGCTCTGAGTATCCCTGCCTTGTGACCTGGGACGAGTCTCTTGCCCTGCCCCGGCCATCTCCATTTGACTTCTTGAAAGCTGGAGGGCAGTTTCCAAAGAGCAAACCCAGGAAGCTTGCTGGGCCACCCACCCCAGCCCCAGGGACCCTCAGACTCCAGTAGCACCACATGAGTCTGAGGCCCCCATGTTCCATATAGAAAGAAGCCCGAGCTTGTACGGTCTCCCATGGTGCCCCTCCCAATGCCCAAGAAGCTACGATTCAACATCACACCTGAGATCAAGAACGACATCGAGAAGGCTAAGCAGAACATGGGCATGTAAGCACCAAGCTGGGTCCTGTGGCAGGGAGGGCAAGCCACTGGGTTGCCAAGTGCCTATTTCTCACCCCCTTTCCTGGGCCTCCTCCCCAGCATGATCCAGGACCTGGACATCTCCATGTTGTTTTTCCACCACTTTGGAAAGGACTTCCCCAAAACAGAGAAGCTGAGCCCCGATGCCTTCATCCAGTTAGCTCTACAGCTGGCGTACTACAGGTGCACCCGGTTTGACTGTCACCTGCCTGATAAAGGAGGGTGGGGGCCACACCCCAGTGCAGGGAGAAAATGTGCTGAGACCCATCTCCCACCAGGATCTACAAGCAGGCATGTGCCACATATGAAAGCGCCTCTCTGCGCATGTTTCACCTGGGCCGCACGGACACCATCCGCTCAGCCACCACAGACTCGCTCGCCTTTGTCAAGGCCATGGATGACTCCAACGTGACGGTAATGAGAGGATGGAGCAAGGGTGGGTAAGCTGTCCTTGGGCTGTCTCCTTTCTGCCCTGTCCACGTTGTTGATTCCCAGTGATTGTAAGTCTGTGGTATTCCAGCCCCACAGTGGGCAATGGGAACTTAATGGAAGATGGAGCCACAGATATGGTTTAGCTTCCTGGCAGCCAAAGCAAAGCCATCCCCTTCATTCACAGAGGTCAGCCATCTGCCCGTGAGCCTCTCCACAGGCTGGGCCCCAGAGGCTCTAAGAGACAGCAGTTCCAGAACCTGCTGAAGTGCTGGCTGGGGTTGGGGAGGAGATGGGGTACTGCGCCTTAGCTTCCTCTGACCTCTCCAGGAGCACCAGAAGGTGGAGCTGCTGCGGAAGGCTGTGCAGGCCCACAGAGACTATGTGGACCGTGTAAGTGAGCCCTGCTCTGGGTCGCTGCCTGTTACCCGCCCTGCTGTCTGTCCTTCTTCCTGCTCATCCCTGCTAGGGCCGCCTCTTCTTGAGCCCTGGAGCAGTCTCCATTTTGAATGAGCATCTTCATTTGAAAGTTGGAGAAACTGACCCAGCACCGGCCTGGTCCCAGTTCCATGGTCATCTGGAACACTGGCCCTGGCATCCTGTCATGCACTCTTCCTAATGGCCCAGCAGATGGCACCTCTCCTGCTCACCAGCACCTGAGGCTGTAGCCAGGGAGGTTGTCTGGGTGCTCATCCTGGCTCTGGCCACCAGTGGGTTCAGTGTGCCTGTTCATAGCACACATAGACACTGCCTGTTACATGAGGTACACACTGACCATGTTACACAGCACAGTCACTAACCATTACACGTATGTATAAACACCACCTGCTGCACAGCCTGTACAGACCCTGCCTGTTAAACGGCATGCAGAGACACTTCCTATGTTAAATGAGGCTCTGTAACAGCCAGGATGGGCTGAACTACCCTTTTTTCTTTTTCTTTTTCTTTTTTTTTTTTTTTTGGTCTTTTTTGAGACAGGGTCTCCCTGTAGCCACAGCTGTCCTGGAACTCACTATGTAGACCAGGCTGGCCTTGAACTCACAGAGAGCCACCTGTCTTTGCCTCAGAGTCCTGGAATTAAAAGCATGCACCACCACACCCAGCCAGAGCCCATGTTTTAAGTGCTGCACTGCCCCCATCTCTCTGGGAAGATGTCTGCTCCTCCATAGCCCTGTTTCCCCCTCTGGGAGACAAGGACTTTTCTGCCTGGACACCCTGTCTCATGGTTCTGAGAGACCAGTGGCTGGAAGAGGCGGCACTGCTGAAGGCTCCCGAGGGCAGGGATACCCTGTGGCCCTGTAGGGCCTGTTTCTGACAGTTCCTCTACCATGCAGGCCATCCGTGGGGAGGCTTTTGATCGGCACCTGCTGGGCCTGAAGCTGCAAGCCATCGAGGACCTGGTGAGCATGCCTGACATCTTCATGGACACCTCCTACGCCATTGCTATGCACTTCAACCTCTCTACCAGCCAGGTAGGCCACTGTGCCAGGTGCCCAGGGCAGCTGGGCCTCAGCTACGATGAGGCTCACGTGGGTTATCACAGGCTCACTGCCAAAACAACTGAATTCCCAAGCAGGAGCTAAGGGCAGGGACATCACTGTAGCAAAGGTAAGAAAGCTCAAACGTGGGACTGGAGAGATGGCTCAGCGATAAAGAGCACTGACTGCTCTTGCAGAGAATCCGGGTTTGATTCCCAGCACCCACATGGCAGCTACGAACCGTCCTTAACTCCAGTTCCAGGGGAATCCGAAGCCCTCTTCTGACCTCTGCAGCATTACACGACACAGGTGCACTCATACATTCCGGCAATACGCTTGTGCACATAAAATAAAAATAATAAAAAATAGCTGGGCGTGGTGGAACACGCCTTTAATCCCAGCACTTGAGAGGCAGAGGCTGGTGGATCTTTTTGAGTTTGAGGCCAGCCTGGTCTACGTAGTGAGTTCCAGGACAGCTGGGGCTACAAGGAGACCCTGTCTCAAAAAGACAAAATAAATAAATATTTAAAAAAAAAAAAAAAGCTCAAACTTTTAAGAAAATTTGCCTCTTTCATTGGTGAGTTAACAGACCAACCTGTGCTGGGTGCTGGGACACAGCCAGGGACAAGCCACAATCCAGCATGCAGCACCTACAGAGCGAGGGCATCTACCACCAGGCGGGCTGGGAGTCGGGAGTGCTGCCCCTCCAGGAGTGTAAAGGAAGGCTCACCCCCAGGAAGGGAGTGTCCGCAGCACAGAGGAAAGGGCGGAGCAGGGTAGGAGCAGACAGAGGCCAGCTGCCTCCATGGGACAGGAGGACTACCACAGGCCTGAACATGATAGCTCTGACCCTCTGTCCCCAGGTCCCTGCCAAGACAGACTGCATCATGTTCTTTGGACCCGTGGTCCCAGACGGTTATGGCATCTGCTATAACCCGATGGAGGCCCATATCAACTTCTCCGTGTCAGCCTACAACAGCTGTGCTGAGACCAATGCTGCCCGCATGGCACACTACCTGGAGAAGGCCCTGCTGGACATGCGCACCCTGCTGCAGAACCACCCCCGGGCCAAGCTCTGAGCACTGGGCCCAGGCCTGCCAGTGCCACAGCCATACCCACTTTGGGATGGGCACCTGCCACAGCTCAATTCTTGGCTCCCATGCCCCCAATTTGACTTGAGGCAAGGAAGCATTCTGTAGTGGGACCTCTAGGTGCAAGCCAAGTGCCTTCCAGGGCCTGTCCTCAGCACCTACCATGCATGGCCCAAGTCCAGGGGCTGAATTCAGAGGTTGAGCAAGACTACGGGCCAGGCCCCCAACATAGCATTCAGTGCCACCACCACCAGGAAAGGGCATCAGTCCATCCAGCTCGGCCCTTATCAGAGTGGGGATTATAGAGTTCCTTTTCCTCCCAGCTCAGCCCTGGCCAGTCTCTTCTCTCTCCATAGACAAGGTGGGCTCTGTGTCCTCATCTTCAATTGCCCAAGGACCTGGGGTCAGAGGGTGATCTAGAGCTGAGGGGGAGCTTCCATTGAAGCTGAGGGGTAAGGCTTCCTGGCTGAAGTGACTCCAGAGGCCTCCAACCACCTGGAGGTACTATCGCCCACGTGGCTACTGTGCTTTTTCAAATATGTCTGCCAAGTCCCAGCCCTGTTGCTTCCATTCAGCTTGATTCTTGAACCACATTCACGGTTGTTCAACATGCCAGGTAACTAATAAAGGGGAGATGTGCTGGTGACCACTGGTTTCAGCTGAGGGGCAGGTAGAGGTCAGACACCTGGCCTGGCCTTCCCACTTTCCCTGGATCTGGGAGTTGGTGTCCAAGGAGCCAGTGAGCCAAAGGGCTCTCAGGGAACTGAAAGCCAGTTCTGACCTCAGGGTGCCGAGTCAAAGATGGCACCAGCCCCCAGTGGGTCTCCTGCTTCACCAGCAACCTCCTGCCTGGGGTCTTCCAAAGTCCCATGGGCTGTGGGATGGAGTAAGCCATGTGGCCAACACCCACTAGCCCCCCAGGGCTGGCCCTGTACTGAGCCCAACAGGAAGAGCAGGTACATGGGCACCAGGCTGTCACTAGAGGCAGAGGCTTGCCAGAGGGGGGCTGGAGTAGCAACCATCAGCCCAGAGCCACAGTTGCCCTGGCCATACATTGTAGAGGTAGCATGCCCTGCCAGTCTCTGGGGCATCTCCAAACCAGGAAAGGTCTGAGGGCCCTGAAGCTAAGCCCCAGCCCACGCCATACTCACTAGCTGTCCCAGGGCAGGACTGGGGAGAGGCAATGGGTAGGGAGGAGAGGCATTTCAGGAGTTGGAGGTACAGAGAATTGGCCTTGCCAGGGTGTTGATAAGGGGCCTGCCAGGCTAATCAGGTTTCCCCAGCGTCCCACCTATAAGGAGGCAGATTCACAGTGTCGTTCACACCAAGCCTCAGAGAACAAGAGTTGGAGCCCAGGCAGGACCCCATTACAACTTTAAAACTATGTGATAACTAATTTGAGATCTAGGATGCATTCTTCCCCCTGCCCCCGGGATCACTACCAGTTTTAAGTCCTGCCCCCCCAGGGGGTCACCCAGCTTACTGCCATGTCAGGAAGAGGGTGACTTCCCATGTAGAGAGTAGCTCTGCACCCCATGTGACCTGCTGAGAAAGAGACTCCCCAGCTGTTCATCTGTCCTACATGACCTCTAACTGCGAGTTGGTCCTGGAACCTTGCAAGGGGCTCCCCAGTCCTCAACGTTGTCCCATGGATAAAGAAATGGCTTACTGAGGGCAGGGCCAGGGCCAGCCTGCACCAGGCAGGGAGGCAGGCTGAGAGGACCAGGGACAGTTTATGGGACGACAGGCCTCAGTGGGGTAGGCAACAGGCTGGCAGGCCCTGGTGAGAAATATCACTAAGGCCATTCAAACCCTCACTTTGGGGGCTGGATGGGACTAGATATCTTGGAGATGCTTATGATGCTATGGTCTCAATCCCATCCCCATCCTTGCCCCTAAGAGTCACGTGTCTGCCAGCTGTCCCCACCCTTGTCTCATGAGCTTTTTATACCCAAGCCTCCAGAGTTTCAGCTTTTAAAACAATAGTAAACAATTTATTTTCTTAATTCAAACCACCTCACACTTGGCTTGTCTCAGGCCAAAAGTAAAAAATAAAAATCTTAGGGGAAGAGGAGGGAACATGGGGTCTCACCTACCTCCCTAGAAACCAGCCCTGGCCCTGGCCTCTGGAGTGGCTTGGAACTGCCTTTAACAAACGAGAGAGGACAGCACCAAAACATTGTGCTTCAGCAGCAGATTAGGAACCTCCACAAAGAAAGGGGGGGAGGGGGTTCAGTTCTGGAAACTTCCAAAAGTCTGGAAGCATCTCCTCTCCACAAGTGTGGCAGAGCGACTTAGAGGCCTACAGGCCTCTTCCCAGCTGGCCAGGTGGGGATCAGTCTCAGACAGATGTTCCAGGGACCCCACACAGGTTCCTGGCCTATGGGACAAGCCAGGGAGGACAGGGACATATCCAGAGCACACAATGGGGGAGGAGGGGCAGGGAAGGATGGGGGGGTTGTCAGGCACTCCTGCCATACTGCCAGCATCCCAGCTCCTGGTTCCTTGTGTTTTGTTCGAGTGGGGATGAAGATAGACTGCTACTGGCTGGCCGGACAAAAGGAGCTGTAAACGCTTGGGTGTGCTTACCCACATGTGCAGGCTCTTTTGTCAGAAAGGGATTACTGTCTTAAGGATGGGGACCAGAGAAAGCCCTTGTGATGTTGGGTTAAGAGAGGGAAGGACACAGTGACAGCAGCCACTAGGGTGCTGGCTCTGGGTCCTGTCCCCAGACAAACACTGACGAGGTTCTGGAATGGTAACGGCAGGGAGCACAGGTGGTGCTTTACTCCTTCTGCCCCAGCCCCAGGGGGAGGCAGGCTGCCCCAACAAGGGCCTGGGTGCTGGCCTGAGCCCCTCTGTACACAGGGCAGCCACTGCGGAGCAGGCTCTTCAGCCCCAACTCCAAAATCCTATCTGCCTTTGACAAAAACAAAAAATAAATAGTGTATACTTTTCCCACCCCCTGGAATTCCTGGCTCCAAGACCAGAGGTGCAAGCCCCATGCTCTACCCACACCCCGGGGCCCACACCAAGAGCACTTCCACCCACTCTGGGGCTGGCAGCAGTAGAGCCAGGGTCCCTGGCCATGTAGCCCCAGGCAGCAGGCCCTCCCAGGGTCCTGGCTGAGGACATGACTCAGCCCTTGGGTCCACCTTGTCCATTAAAATTAAAATACGAAAAAAAAAAGGCTCCACTTGGTGACTTGGGTCTGTAGAGGTCTCTGCTTCAACCCTCATCCATCACTCTGTCCGTCCTGCAAGGCATGGCGCAGGCCAGGTTTGGAGGCTGGACCAGCCACATCCACCAGTTACTGCAGCTTTGTACCCAGCTTGCGCTGTCTGTTCCTATAAAATGAGACAGGGTCAGATTTGTTAGGGTGCCTGGTGTTCAGCGTCCCATCCCCATACTTGTCTCGTTCCCTGCTCACAGTCTCAACAAAATGAGCAATGCCCTCCCAGTAGCATGGTGACTGACCAAAGCCAGGCCAATCAGAGCTCCTGCCAGGGTCTGGGACCTGGAAAGTGCCAATATCTGGCTGCTGTATCATGATCTGGGTTGGGTGCCCAGGAAGGGAGCCAAAGACTGAGCAGGATGAGGGCTGGGACAAGACCAGAAAGGCCAGTGGTACCTGGCTGGCTCTGACCAGTCGTGGGGAGTTCCCTTTATAGGTAAGTCACCCCAAGAAGAGTTCTGCTGTTTCCACCACAGCAGCTACAGAAAGGTGGTGAGCTCCGCACATGGGATGGACTCAGGCAAGGGCAGGATGCTGGGTGGCGGGGGGGGGGGGTTTAACCAGGAGACAGAAGCACCTACTTTAAGGGCAGGGGAAGAATAACATTTTCTAGAGGGCTGACTGAGGCTCAGGAAGGAGGACAGGGCTTGTCTAAGGTCCTTGTTAAAACCCAGAAACCATCCAGCCTGGTGGCACACGCCTTTAATCCCAGAACTCAGGAGGCAGAGACAGGCAGATCTGAGTTCGAGGCCAGCCTGGTCTACATAGCGAGTTCCAGGTCAGCTGGGGCTACACGGAGATCCTGTGTCAAAAGGACAGAAAGACCCCAGAAACCTGCCCATGGCTCACAAGGCCATGTGCACTATGGCCCCAGCCCTCCCACTGGCTCCCAGGGCTCTAGCACACAATCTGTCCCAGGAGCTGTGTGTGTGCTGTTCCCTTACTGAGATGCCTCCCATGAGCCCCATTTGCTCTCATTGCTCAGGCCCCTCTCCTGGGAGGCTGGTGGCCCATCCTGCTCCCACACTGGGCTCAGATCACAAGCTCTAAGCCTCTGACCTTCACTCCCCAGCATGGGGCACACAGACAGGCCCTTCCTCCTTCATGGTTCCCTGCTGCCCTGAGCAACAGGAGAGTGGGACCATGGCTGTCTCCCTCTGTACCTAGCCCTACACACACAGCCTGCACAGAGCAGGTGTCATGGAAAGTTACAGAATACAAGCGTGGTGGCGCACACCTTTAATCCCAGCACTTGGGAGGCAGAGGCAGGCAGAGCTCTGTGAGATCAAGGCCAGGATGGTCTACATAGCAAGTTCCAGCCCAGCTGGGGCTACAGAGAGATCCTGCCTCAAAAAAAAAAAAAAAAGACCAAGGGCTGGAGAGATGGCTCAGATGGAACAGCAACACTGGCTGTTCTTGCAGGAGACCTGGGTTCAAATCCCAGCATCCACATGGCAGCTAACAACTGTCTATAACTCCAGTTCCAGGGGATCCAACGCCCTCTTCTGTCCTCTGTGGGCACTGCATGACATAGGTGCACTTACCTACATGTAGGCCATATACACATACACACAAAATAAAAATAATAAAATAAAACAAAACAAAAGATCAAAAAAAAGAACATAAGTGGGAGGCAGCCAGCTGGGCAGGGCAAGACAGAACCGGCCACTCTGGGAGCCAGGTGGAGAGCTAAGCCTGGGCCAGCTGGGACCTTTCTGCCACTAATGGGACTGCCCTGCCCTAACCCCCTCAAATCCCTTTTCCTCATGGATCCCAGGCTTTACCCTTAAGTTCATTAAGATAATGTGGACCTTGATGCACTAACACATTTCCTAGCTGCTGGGACACCCCACCCTGCTCGGCCCTGCCCTCCCCAATGGCTCCTTTCACCCCTCTTTGGAAAACCTCCCAGGCTTCTTTTGGAGCCTGACCTGTCTCAGACCTCAGAGCCTAGGGAGAGGCCAACCCTCCCCTCCCCTCAGCCACACCACCCCAGATTCGGGGAGAGTTGGATTAAAGACTAAGAATCAGGAGACTCCCTCCAAAGACAAGGTTGCCCGGACTTGCACTCAGCTGCATGCTGACTCCAGTTCTGTGCCTCAACCTACCAGCTAGCAGAAAGCTATACAGCTCAGAGGACAGACACACTCTATCACCCTGAAATCTCTGCAGCCCAGCAGTTCAACACCAGCTCCCTCCCTCACCCACTGACAGAGCTCAGGCAAGGTATTCCTTCTGTTTGGTCTTTTTTATTTATTATTATTATTTTTTAATGTGTATTTGTGTGTTGCCTGCATATAGGTAAGCACACCTATATCATGCAATGCCCGAGGAGGACAGAGGGGCTATTGGATCCCCTGGAACTGGAGTTAAGGATGGTTGTTAGCTGCCATGTGGGTGCTGGGATTCAAACCCAGGTCTTCTGCAAGAACAACCAGTGTTCTTAACCGCTGAGCCATCTCTTCAACCCCTTGTTTGGTCTTTTTGAGACAGGATCTCCCTGTAGCCCCAGCTGGCCTAGAACTCACAAGAGATCTGCCTGCCTCTAACGCTCAAGGGCTGGGATCAAAGGCATGCACCACCACACCCAGCCCTTCTTTCTGAGCCTGAGTTTTCCCATGAAAAGTGGGAACCTCAGGAGAATTCAATGTCAGAAAAGTAAGCAAGTGTCTAGCCCCTAGGAAACCTTCCCAATAGGGGCAGTAGTGATTGCTGTCCCCTCAACTCACCTGGCTTCTGCCCGGGTTACTGTGTACTCAAACCAGAGTACATTGGGAATGAGGCTTGTGTCCCGGATTAGGAAGAACTCAGAGATGGGCCTAGAGACAGACACCCCAAAAGTCAGGGCCATATAAGGGCATGAGCCTGCCATCAAGACAGACACCCAGCACCCCTGCAGACTCCCCTGTACAGGACTGACTGCCTTCTAAGCCCCTAAGTCCAGTAACAAAGATAGAGCATGGCACTGCACCTGGGCCTGAGACCCACAAGCCTCTGCAGCAAGTCCTGGGGGAGGTGGAAGCCAGGAGACTCATGCCACCAGAGGCCCAGGTATTGGGGCAGTCTAGGACACAGGGCCCTCCACAAATGGCCATACCAGCATAAGGGACAGGGCTGGGAAGGGAGGGGAGTTGGTTACCAAGCTGCTATCCTGGGGAACAGTGGGGTGAGGACCTCTTGGGTGAAGACAAACCAAGCGATGGCCATGATGCTTCCAGCAATGCCCCCATAGAGGACCTGGCTCCAGGTGTGGTACAGCAGGTAGACCCTGGGCCAAGGCCAGAAAAGAAGTTCATGACAGCTAGGGACAGGCCTGCACAAACAGCCTCCCACCCCACCCCACCCCCGTGCCCAAAGGCCAGCTTCTCAGGGCCCTGTGTGTGCACATGTGAGCACACACAGATGGGACAGTCTTCCATGTTCCAGAAGGACACAGCAGGGAGGCTGAAGCTGCTGCCCATCTGCAGATCTGCCTCCTCTGCATAGCCTAGCTCTGAGCCTGTCTGCAAAGGGCCCCTCCAGGAAGCTGGGAACAAAAGACAGCCAAGGAGCTGTTGCCACAATCTTGAACTTAGCCAACTATGCCAGAAGGGGAAGCCCTGAGGTGGGTCAGGTACAGGGTGGGGGCTCCTCCCTCCATACCTGCTGTAGGAAACAAGGAAGGCAGACGTGAGGAGCCCCAGGGACAACACGTGCCTCCACAGCAAGTCCAGGAACCTGGCATTATTTGTTTGGTGCATTCTGGGAAAAGAGGCACATCAGACAGCCTCAGCCCACAACCTGAGCCCAGGCCTCCCAACAGCCCTGGCCCTATCCCAAAAGCCTCTATGTGTAGCTGTCCCCAGCCTGGGTCAGGTCAGGGCTGCCACAGGGCCACCACAGCTGGGGCAGAAGCTCACCTTAAATATAGGAAAAGGAAGGAATAGACGGAGAAGAACCACATAAACTGGGAATGGCTGGAGGGCATTCCGTATTTAGTGCCCACTGCTGTGTGGGGACCTGGAGGAGAAAAAGAACAGAGCATCACCAGAGGACATGGGCCTCCCCACAATGCTGTACATGAGGCTTTGGGCCCTCACAGCCGGGGCAGTACCTCCACAGGGCCGAGGCTCCTGGATGACGTGTTTGATCAGCCAGTTGACCCCCTCATTCAGTGCCAGGCCCCCGAGGAACGAAATCTGCCAGGGAAAATAAGTAGTCCGCTGGGCCTCTGTGTACCTGCTGACTGCTACCCAATCCCCATAACTGTGGCCTCTGACTGGACATCCCAGGTCAACAACAGAACAACCTGGACACAGCCAGGAGAATCCCACAGGCTTTGCAGGGTATGTCACTGGAGACAGGAAGAGGTACAGGGGAGAGAGTGGGGCAGACTTACCGTGTGGAGCTCCCGCTTAAATATGATGAGGGTCACAAAACCAACAATGACAAAAATAGGGCTGAGGCTCAGGTAGGCAAGGAGGTGGCCAGAGAGATCACCTGTAGAGACAGACAAACCAGATGAGACAAGGGACAGGCAACAGAAGGCCCCACAATAGGGCCAATAGGGCCTAAACTACAGGGGAGGTCCTAGAGCCCAGGACCACAGCCAGAGACACCCAGTTGACTACCTACCGCACCAACTCCAACACAGTTGTAATGTGTCTGTTACTGATCATGAAAGCCCATATACCATGAATTCCAAGCAGTTCCTCTTCTGTCCCCATTCCATAGAAGGAATGGAGTCTCAGCAGGGCTATGTGACTTATTCAAAGTCGCACAACTAGAAATGGGGTTCGGGGGGGGGGGGACCTTGATGAAAATTTAGGTCTCTGGCCTGGTCCAGATACGATACCCATCTCTCTGCCAAGGCAGGAATTTGAACCCTGAGGTCTGATGCTGGGGGCAGAACCCTGCACAAGGGGCAGAACTGCAAGCAGAGAGCTTTGCACCAAAGTTTGGGTTACCCACAATGCAGAGTGAACCCCTGCACCTGCCTGGGATGCCTGCAGGGCATCAGCCAGTTAGGTCTCTGGCCTGGTCCAGATACGATACCCATCTCTCTGCCAAGGCAGGAATTTGAACCCTGAGGTCTGATGCTGGGGGCAGAACCCTGCACAAGGGGCAGAACTGCAAGCAGAGAGCTTTGCACCAAAGTTTGGGTTACCCACAATGCAGAGTGAACCCCTGCACCTGCCTGGGATGCCTGCAGGGCATCAGCCAGTATTCTTTTAGATACCACAAATATAGAACCACACCAAGGACTCCAACAGTGACAAGCCCCACATGGCCACCAGGCAAGACACTGATTTCTCTACTCCTGACAAACCTAGATAGAGGCAGTGAGGACCACTGGCCCCTCTGAGAGACAGAGATGCAGAAGCTAAGAGATGAGAGCCATGTTCTCCCTTGCCTATAGGCAAGGCTAAGTCAAAGGCCACTCTCACCTCTGGAGACAAGGTGGCTAAGAAGGGTGAGAGGACACCACACACTTCCTGTACAAGGACTTCACCTCCCTAGGCCTCCACTCTCTTGTGGGATAGGAGAATCTGTATCTCTCCCACAGCTCTGTAGACCTAATGAGAGGAGGGCTGTGAGATGCCCAGCATGGTCTCTGGCATCCAGGATGCTCTCTGAGTGGGGATGACAGAGGCTGGGTAAACCAAGTGTGGGAAATGGCCCATACCACCAACTTGGCCTTCCACAAGCAGGCAGGTGCCCACAGAGAGCAGATTCCAGGTCTGAAGAGTTGGACACACACACACACACCTTACCAGGAAAGACAAGCTTAGAGTGGGCCTGAGAGAACAGGGCAGCAACTCAGGTACATATGATACCACAGTGTCCCTAGGTGACAATGAGTGCCTTCCAGCCCCGAGATTCTGTCCTCTCCACGACCCAACTGATGACTACTGGACTGTGAGGACCCTGGACAGTTCACCAGCCTGTTGGGTTGTCACACTGCAGGCAAGACCCTCAAGCTTTCCCATACATACTGCCAAGGACTCTGGCCTCACCTTTTTTTTTTTTTGGTCTTTTTGAAGCAGGGTCTCCCTGTAGCCCCAGCTGTCCTGGAACTCACTATGTAGACCAGGCTGGCTTTGAATTCACAGAGATCCACCTGCCTTTGCCTCCCGAGTGTGGGACTACAGGCGTGCACCACCACACCCGGCATCATTTGCTTTTAATTTTTTAAAAATTTATTATTTATGTGTGTATTTTGCCTGCATGTATGTAAGTATACCACGTGTGCAATGCCCAAAGGCCAGAAGAAGGCACCAGATCCCCTAGAACTGGAGTTACACAGGGTTGTGAGCTGCCATGTGGGTGCTGGGAATCAAACCCAGGCCCTCTGCAAGAGCGGCCAGTGCTCCTAACTCGCTGAACTGTCTCTCCAGCCCCCACCTTGCCACTTTTTAATCTCCAGTGCCCTTGCGATGTGCCGCCCTTGGTCCTGCTCACCAAGCTCTGCACAGTCTTGGCCTGCTTCCCTCCCATCCTCTGCTCCAGTTGCAGAGGCAGAACTCCAGATCCCTAAACGCCCCGTGCTGCCCTACTTCTGTGCCTGTGTACACATGGCTTCCCCCACCTGGGGTGCTGCCTAGGTGAACTCAATAAACATAAACCAAGACCCGCCACAGTTACAAAACTTACAGATGAGACCTACCAAGAGCTGTCAGCCAGATGGGGGAACAAGTGACTGAAACACTAGTGTAGGCAGCTGTGGGGCAGGGTTTCCCTCCCTCTTCTACACTAAGAGAAAAACTCATAAAGTCTCTAGACCCCATTTCCACTCGAGTCCAGCAGAGTGTGACCCTGCACAGGGCTCAAAAACCATGTTAAATGGATGAAAGAGGCAAGTTCACTGTGCTGAGGGATACGAAGAATACAGGTTCCAGAAATGTTCTTGGAGGACTAGATCTTACCAGATGTCCCACATCTCAACCTGTACGTTTCATGGTGTTCCCAGCAACAGGTGCCTTCTCACTTAGAAGACCAGAGTTCTCTAAAAGGCAGCTCTGAAGCATGAGCCAGGGAGGGAACGTTAGCAAGCATGGAGGCCTCGGCCATCTGTCCAGGCCTTGGTTTCCCTCTAGAGGAGAGAGAAATTTTCCACAGAGCAAGAGTGCAGGAACTGACCTATCTGGCTGGTGTGAACCTGACCCAGAGCTCCCCAAGGGAGATGCTCAGTGGACAGAGAATAAAGAATGAAGAATGAATGAATGAATGAATGAAGAATGAATGGGCAGACAAGCAGATAGGGCCCAGTCCCTGGCAGAACTGCCTGCCCTTACTTAATACAACCCCAACTTCCAGTGTCAAAGTTCTCTGGCACGTGGCCTCGTGCCTGAGCTCAGTAGAGCCATCTCTCAGGTCCCTGCCCTAGAGTAGCAGAAACGAGCCCTTCCAAAGCAACCGGGGGTCAGTGAGGTGGGGGGCCCCAGCTGCCTAGCAACAAACATCCTATCCAGGGAGGGTGCTGGGAAGCTGGGGACAAAAACTGCAGGTATTTCCTGGGTGCTCACTATAGGCCCTGTGCCCAGAACCTCTCAGGCCTGTGATCATCTGATTCCCACCCCATCACAGAAGGGAGACATTGTACTTAGGAGACACTTGGGAAGATGAAGTGATCGGAGAGGGGGTGGTGCCTGCTACTGGAATCCAGAAAACGTCTCACCCCAAGGCCCAAGCGCCAGCACCACTCCGGAACCGCAGAACCTGGGCTCATAATGGACCTCCCCCACCAGGGGCGGGCACTCCCAGAGGCGTGTCTGATGGAAGCTCTAGCAGTCGAGATCCCGGGGGGCTGCGGGGGCTGCTCAGGGCGTGGCCCCGCAAAGCCTCCCAAGCTGGCCTGGGCTTGCACACTCCCTGCAACAGAGAGCTCCTTCTGCAGCAGGACGCTGAAGGAAACTGGCACTCCCCTGCACGCCGGAGCAGGAGCGCGGCCTCCCCGGCTCGGGGGAGGGCGGGGCACGAGGGCCAAGGTCCAGGCCCCGGCTTCCTCTCCCGCCTCACCCAGACTCTCCGCACCCTACGACGGCCCACCCCGAGTCCCAAGACCCCCAAAAGGCGGCTCGGCCCGCGCAGCCGCAGACAGCTCGAGCGAGCCGCTCACAATTTCGCCCAGCTCATCGCCGCCCCACTGCGCCTGCGCGGTGCGCGCGCCGGCCGAGCCCCTCCATGGCTCGGTGTTTGACAGTTCCCACCCTGGTTCCTCCGCGTCTCTCCGCCGGCCGCCGCGGCCCGGAGCACCCGGGGCTGAGGCGCCGGCTACAGGAGGACGTCCTCGGGACCCGGGGCCGTCTTTTACCTGCAGGGTATTCGACGTGGGTGAGGGTCACCGGCCGCCATGAAGCGGGGAGCGAGCACTGTCCGTCCGCTGCCATCTTACCCGGAGACCGGGCTTCGCCAAACGGCCAATGGGGAGCCAGGGGGCGGTGGTTCTGACCTATCACGCCGGGGCGGCGCCACATAGCCAATCAGAGGCCGAGGTAGGTAGCGGCACAGCCAATCAGCGTGCAGTCTGTGGGGCTGGCCCGAGCGGCGAATCAGAGAGCAGGGCCGTTTGGAGCCTGCGAGCCGGCCCAGCCCACGTCCAATCATAGGCGAGCGCAGGTAGCTGTCCAGCCAATCAGAGGAAGGGAGGGTTCCAGCGGAGGTCGGAGGGCATAACAGCCAATCAGAGGAGAAGCCTGGCTCACCATGTGGGTAGGGCGAGCCAATCAAGTGCTATCTTGGGGGGCGTGTTGTAGTTTGGTGGGAGCTTTGGTTTAGCTGGCACCTGCGCCTGGAGTGAAGGCTTTTCCCTCGACCCTGAGCGCCCCCGTGGGCGGCGGAACCGGCTTCCTCGTGGAGAGGGAACCTCGGCACCAAAAACAAAATTAGGGGCGAGGACTGAGGGGTTAAAAGCGGGAACTGTTCTTGTAGGAGCCCCGGGCTCAGTTCCCAGTATCCACGTGGTGACTCACGACCTCCTGCAAGTCCATCCAGTTCCAGGAGATCCAAAGCCCTCTTCTGACTTCCGCGTGCTCCTGCATGCACTTAACGCACATACATACATATTAAATGCTACATAGATATTTTTTAAATTGGGATTTGGGGACTGGAGAGATGGCTCAGCGGTTAAGAGCACTGGCTGCTCTTGCAGCGAGGACCTGAGTTCGATTCCCCCCACCCACATGGAGGTTAACAATCGTCTGTAACTCCAGATCCAGGGATCTGACGCCCTCTTCTGACCTCCACAGGCTTGCACGACATGGATGCAATTACACACATGCAGGCAATGCACTTATCATATAAAATAAATAAATAAATTGGGATTTCACTATGAAGCCCAAGCTGGCTTTGAACTTGACATCTTCCTGCCTCACCCTCCCACATGCTGCAGTTACAGCCATATACCACTGCCTGGTTTCTAGCTAATTTTTCTGACTGACTAATTTTTAATTACAAGTAAACTGAGACCAAAGGCCCAGGACTAATTGTTTTTCTCTGCCTTTTACTAACAGATGGAAGGCAAAGTTCCACAAAACAGCCTTTTTGTTATAAGATGATGGGTTCTGGGGATGGAGGGATAGATCAGTGGTTAAGAGCACTGGCGGCTCTTGCAAAAGACCCAGGTTGGGTTCCCAGCACCTGCATAGTGGCTAACTGTAACTCCAGTTCCAGGGGATCTGACGCCCTCTTCTGGTCTCTGCTGAGATTGTTTGACATGGGTGCAACTACCTACATGCAGGGGATACACTCATGAAATAAAAATAAGTTTTTTAAAAAAGATCATGAGAGCCGGATGTGATGGTACATGCCTTTAATCCTAGCACTTGGGAGGCAGAGGCAGGCGGATCTTTGTGAGTTCAAGGCCAGCCTGATCTACATAGTGAGTTCCAGGACAGCTGAGGCTACAGGGAGACCCTATCTCAAAAAGAAAAAAAAAAAAAATCATGGGTTCCAACTTACAGGGCAGGGCACACACTTATAGGGCAGGCATCTTAAATGCAATGTTACTAGTTTATTGGTTCCATCACTTAAGCCATTTAGTGAGGTTTTTTTTGGATACGTTTAATAAGCCCAAAGTTTCCACCTAACTTTCCATTTTCTCAAAACATTCTTGAGGACTGGAGGTAAAAGCACTGACTGCTCATGCAGAGGACCCGGGTTCAAATCCCAGCACCCACATGACCGCTAACAGTCCCATCTCCATTTCCAGGGGATCCCCACACCCCCTTTTGTCCTCCTCGGGCACTGCATGACATGGGTGCACTTACATACAAGTAGGCATAAAACTCATACACATAGAATAAAAATAAATAAAAAATTGAAAAATCAAAACATTCCTGGGGAAGTAGCCACACCTCCCACCTACCTCTCCCTCTCTGGGCCCAGTCTCTCCAGCTGGAGTGCTGTCTGCTAATCTTTGCATATCATTTCATTGATTACAATGGTCATACACACCCCTACCCCATTTTGCCAGGCTCAGTCCAGTCTGCATGTCTGTTTGCACGTTTACAGGTTTTGGGGTTAAGAGGCCTCAGTGGGGCTGCACCCCCTTTCCTACCTCAGTTCTTGCTACATAATTGTCCATAATTGTGTCCTTACCTGTCTCTGCCAGTAAGCGATCTTTCTCTGACTTCCCCGAGCACTCAGCATGTAGAAAATGCAGGTTCTTGGGTCCCCCTGGTGCCTGGATACAGCCAGGAGATCTGGGTTGGAGCCTTAGCCTCCATAGTCTGTGCTCTGGGGTTCCAGATACAGGTGGTTATAACCCCACCTGGAAGAACCTGCACAAATCCCTGAGCTTAGCCCTGCTCAGACCTAGAGGAGTACATGCTAACTGACCTAGAGCAAATACTTGATAAAAGTGACCTGGAACAAGTACCTGTTAAATGACCTAGAATAAGTACCCAATAGATAACAAGGTACTTCTGAGGTAGAGTAAGAATAAACCAGAGAAGTCATTAGCTAGAGTGGTTTACTCCATCAGCCTGCCCAGTAGCAGGAGCCAGGCCTGTGAACCCAGCTGTGGACCACGAAGGCCCCTGCCCCCAACCCTGCTCAGCTTCCCCTCCTGCCCCCCAGCCCAGCCCAGCCCAAGCTTGTCTGGGTCAGCTGGCCTCACTCCCTTGTCACCTGCCCTAAGTTCTCAGGCAATACCATTATTAGCCTCTGAAAGTCAGGAGGTGTGAGGAGTGGGCCTTGAGCTTCCTAGAATAGTTCTCTGAGACAGGGCAGTCATGGGAAATCAGGCCGCACTGTCCCTCTGAAACAGGCCCAGAAAGGCAAAGTCCCTGAGATGCAGGGAGATTGCTCCTGAGGAAGTGACAAGATGCAGAACTACAGAAGAGTGGGCGTTATCCAGGGTAGGTTCTCCACAGAGGGAAGGGCATATAGCACTGTCCGTCTGTCCAGACTGGCTGCAGGAAAAAAGCCAGTGGGTGCTGGGGGAGGTGGACGTGGTCAGGCCACTGAGGGTCTGAGGGCATTGTTGGATATGGGGAGTTAAAAGGATGGGTAAGTGAGCTGGTTTGCTACGGTGTCTCCCTGTAGCCCTGGCTGACCTGGAGCTTGCTATGTAGACCAGGCTGGCCTCAATCTCACAGAGACCTGCCTGCCTCTGCCTCCCTAGTGCTGGGATTAAAGGTGTGCACCACCAACACCCAGATACTTTTGCTACTTTTTAATTAAATAAAATATGTAGCTGGGTGACATGAGCCTGAAATTCTAGCACAGGAGAGGCTGAGGCAGGAGGATCAAATTCCAGCCCATCCCAGAATGCACAGCAGGTTCCAAGCCAGCCTGAGCTAGATGTGGTAGTGCACACCAGCAATCCCAGCACTTGGGAAGAAGCAAGAGGATGAGGAGTTCAAGATGGTCCTGGGCTGCAAAATGAATTCTTGGCTAGCCTGGGATACATGAGAACCTACCTCAAATATAGAAAAATATGGGGCTGGAGAGCTGGCTCAGTGGTTAAGAGCACTGGCTGCTTTTGCAGAGGACCCAGGTTCGATTCCCAGCACTCACATGACAGCTAATAGGCATCGGTAACTCCAGTTCCAGAGGATCCAGTGCCCTTTTCTGACCTCTACAGGCACTGCATGACATGACACAGGTGCCTTTACTTACATGCAGGCAATACATTCACACACATAAAAATACCTGGTGGTACACGCCTTTAATCCCAGCACCCAGGAGGCAGAGGCAAGTGGATCTCTGTGAGTTCAAGGCCAGCCTGTTCTACATAGTGAGTCCCAGGACAGCTGGGGCTACAGGGAGACCCTTTCTCAAAAAGACCAAAAATAATAATAAAATATTTTAAAAAATAATAAAATTTTATTTATATATAGATATATATGTGTATTTGTGTATACATACGTGTGTGTATAACATTCATGATAGGCCTGGTAGTATACAACTACAATCTGTACTTGGGAAGCTGAGGCAGAAGAATCCAGAGTTCATCCAGAGGCCATTCATATAATATATGTATAGATGTGACATTCTTACAGAAAATTCCAGAAATCAGATGTATGTAGGTTGATAAGTTTCACAAACCAGATATCCTTGTGTAAGCATTCCCCAGATACAGAATCACTGGTGGCCTGCCCAGTCACTCCCTGTAAGCAGACCCCACAGTCTGTACTCGTGTGCATGAAGTCTCCCCCAGCAGGCACTGACTGGAAGAGTTATCCACACTGTGGCCTCTGGCTGCCTGCTATGTGGCATCCCATGGGATGAACATACTCCAATTTGTTTCCCAAGTAAGACAAATAAAACTCTTAGAGTCTTGGAGTCTACTCTTGGAGGACATTTGGGGTGTTTCAGGTTTGGGGGGGTCTCCCAAATGGTGCTGCTGGGACAAGAAGCCACCTCAGGGATAGGCCGAGTCACAGTTCCCAAGAAGCTGACAGAGGCAAAGTCCCTGGGCATGTCTTCTGTGTATCAATGAGTGCATTGATGATGGGGATGTCCCCATGTGCCATGGTGGGGTCTTCTGAGACTGCAGAGGTGACACATGATACAGTGTGATGGGTGAGGAGCACTCTGCCCACCTCCACCCTCTGGGCTGTGGTGTCTGGTATCCTTCCTGTGAGCTGCTTCCTCCCGAGTCCCTGTGTCACTGTCACAGCATAGGGATAAGACAGCTCTTTAGTGTTTTGTTTTGGTTTTTTTTTTTTTTTTTTGTCTTTTTGAGACAGGATCTCCCTGTAGCCCCAGCTGTCCTGGAACTCACTATGTAGACAAGGCTGGCCTTGAACTCAGAGATCTGCCTGCCTCTGCCTCCCAAGTGCTGGGATTAAAGGTGTGCGCCACCATACCCAGCCTGTTTTGCTTTTTTAAAAAATATTTTATTATTTTTATTTTATGTGTATGTGTGTATTGCCTGCATGTAGGTAATTGCACCCGTATCATGCAATGCCCACAGAGGACAGAAGAGGCTGTAGGACCCCCTGGAACTGGAGTTAGGAGTTGTTAGCTGCCATGTGGGTGCTGGGATTCGAACCTGGGTCTTCTGCAACAACCAGTGTTCTTAACCACTGAGCCATCTCTCCAGCCCCCTTGTTTTGCTTTTTTGAGACAAGATCTCATGTAGCCCAGATCGGTCTTGAACACACTATATAGCCAAGGACGTCACTGGAATACTGATCCTCCTGCCTCCTCTTCCTGAGTGCTGGGATTCCAGGCATGCACCACCATGCCTGGCTTACAAAGTCTTCATGTGCCCATTTATGGATGAAAAGAGGAAGCCTCAGAGCATCCAGGTTCTTGCCACAGGCACCTGTCAAGTATGTAGCAAAGCCAGGACTTGTGCCCAGGGCTGCCTGACAGGCAAGCCTGTGTTCAGAACTATCCTGCTTCTCTAAGCCAAAGAACTGGCTGCTTTCTCCAGAGCCTCAAGACCCAGACTTCTCTAGAGCCACGGTGTCCCCGGACAGGAGCAGGCTTGTCACCTCAGGGTCACAGGTTGGCAGGGGATGGCCTTAACATTAGAGCCACAGAGTTTGACTTGAACATGCGCCCTACTACATTGGTTTGTGGGTGAAGCCATGGCCACATAAGCCTTTAGGAAACCTCTTTCTTGGCTTTGCCTCCTGAGATGTCTTGGGTGCTGCCCTCTGGGTCAGAGGTGATTCATTCTTTTAGGGATTGACCCTCTCGACAGTACAGGGACATGTACCACGTCCAGGATGAACAGAATGCAGTCAGCCTGGGCAGCGCCCTCGTGACACTTCCGTTCCATGGAGGCTATGGAACTCCCAGGTTCCAAAGATGCTAGTTAGAAAGATAAATGGTCAGCTGGGTGTGATCCTGCATGAGAGGCAGGGAAGGCTGGGAGATCATGAGTTCAAAGTCAGTTTGCAGCACATAGGAAAATCCCATCTCAAAAAATCAAAGCCAGGGGCTGGAGAGATGGCTCAGAAATTAAGAGCACTTGCTGCTCTTGCAGAAGACCAGAGTTCAATTCCCAGCACCCATGTCAGGTAGTTCACAACTGTAACTCCAGCTCCAGAGTACCTGATGCCCTCTTCTGGTCTCTGAAGGCACTGCACTCACATGCAGAGACACAAACACACATACACATAAATAAAAATCAAATAAATCTTAAAAAAAAAAAAAAAACTAGGTTGAAGATGTAGCTCAGTTGGTAGAGTGCTTGCTTAGTGTGCATGAAGCCCTGGATTTGAGCCCCAACTAAAAAGCAAATTATTCTCAAAAACATTCTTCTAGGGGCTGGAGAGATGGCTCTGCAGTTAAGAGCACTGGCTGCTTTTGCAGAGGACTCAGGTTCAAATCCCAGCACCCACATGGTGGCTAAAAACCATTTGTAACTACAGTTCCAGGCAATCTGATGCCCTCTTCTGACCTCCGTAGGCACTGCAGGACACAGATGCACTTACATACATGCAGGCAAAACACTCATACACATAAAAAACAACAAACAAAAATATACCCCCCAAAACATTCTACCAGAGGGATCCCCAAACCAAAGACGACATATTACATGACCCCATTTATAGGAAATGTCCAGAAAAGGCAAGGGTGTGTGTGTGTGAGGGAGTTGGCTGAGTAAGAACAAGAGGATGACAGAAATTTTCTAGAAGTACATTGTAATAGCTAGTAAATTTCTGTGTACTTTCTGAAAATCATTAAAGCAAGGCATTTTATGGGGTACAAATTATACCTCAATAAAACTGCTTAAACCATTTGCTTTGTTTAAAGCCAACACTTATTTGCAAGCATTGCAGTGATTCCCAATTCCCATCAACTTCCATCTCCACATTTGGCAAAGGGACAGATTCAAATATACATACTGTTCTATTGATTTATTTATTCGAGGCAAGGTCTCATGTATCCTAGTTGGCCTTGGACTTGCTATAGAGCCGAAAGTAACCTTGAACTTTGGATCTTCCTGTTTCCACTGCCAATGTTCTGGCTTTGCAGGTATGTACTACCATGCCTAGGGTTTAGGGTGCTGGAGCCTGAACCCTGGCCATTCATAGTGTATGCTAGACAAGCACTCTGTCATATGAGCCATAGCCTCAGCCTGTTTGTTGAGAGACAGTCTCATGTAGCCCAGGCTGGCCTGGAATTATACATCCAGAGATGGCCTGATCAGCCTCATCTTTGCCTCCTAAATGCTAGGATTACAAGTGTATGCCACCTGACCTGTCTTGTTTTGTTCTTTTTAAATTTTTTTAAATATTAATTTTATGTGTATGAGTGTATTGCCTGCATGTATGTGAGTGCACCCATGTTGTGCAATGCCTCGGAGGTCAGAAGAGGGCTCTTTGGATTTCCCTGGAACTGGAGTTAAGGGTGGTTCATAGCTGCCATGTGGGTACTGGGAATCAAACCCAGGTCCTCTGCAAGAGCAGTCAGTGCTCTTAACTGCTGAGCCATCCCTCCAGCCCCTTGTTTTGTTCTTGAAACAGGGTTTCCCTATGTAGCCCTGGCTGGCCTAGAATTCACTATGTAGACCAGGCTGGTCTCAAACTCAGAGATCCATCTGCCTCTGCCTCCCAAGTGCTGGGATTAAAGGTGTGCGTCACCATGTCCAGCACCTGTCTTGTTTTTTGAGACAAGGTCTCAGGGAGCTAGCCTCGTACTCACTGTGTAGCCAGAGATGGCTTTGAACTCCTGATCCTCATGCCTCATCTCCCACTCCCTGCCATGAAATGACAAACTATACCACCACACCCATATCTTCAGATGGGACTGGCATCAAGACCTGCCATCGTCCCAGTGAGTGATTAGAAAATCACTGCCTTTTAGGTGGGACTGTGTTGGAGCTACACTAGAAAAGCACCTAAGAGACCAGCGCACTCAAATATTGAGGAGTGAAGTTCATGCCTGAAATTTACTCTAAATACTTTGGAGAACAAACATCTAAAAGAAGAATGGCAGAGTGTTACTTGTTGATTAAAGGTGCTGGTTTCAGGGGTATAGCTTGTTGGGTTTTAAGTTGTGTGGTGTTGTGGACCAAACGCAGGGCTTTGCACATGCTAGGCAAGTATCTGCCACTGAGATGCACCTTCAGCCCTTGAAAAGTTTTATGCATGCATGCATGTGTGCACAGATGGTACAAAGGTCAACATTCAATGTCTAATCACTCTCCACCTTATTTTTAAAAATATTTTTTATGTGTATGAGAGTATTGCCTGCATGTATGAAAGTGCACCCATGTTGTACAATGCCCAAAGAGGTTAGAAGAGGACGTTGGATCCCCTGGAACTTCAATTATAGGTGGTTGTTAGCCACTGTGTGGGTGCTGGGATTCAAACCCGGGTCCTTTGCAGAAGCAGCCAATGCTCTTAACCACTGGGATCTCTCTGGCCCCATACCACCGTATCTTTTGAGACAATTTCTGATTGAACCTGATGCTCTATGATTCAGCTAGACTGGATAGCCAGCAAGACCCCAGGGGTCCACCAGTCTCTACTTCCCCAGCAGCAGGATTATAGGCTGCTATGGGCTTTGCTTGGCTACCACCTGGGTGTGGGGGATTAAACTCAGGTCTTGATTTCTAACTACCCGTGGGGACACATGCAGAGCAGCTGGCAGGCCGCAATCCTCCGGGATCCTGTCCCGGTCCTTCTGCACTCCTGGGGGGAGGGTGTTGAACACCTGTATCTTACAGATGTGGAAACTAAGGTCCAGAGAGAAGCAGTCTCCAAGGGAAGGCACCTGAGCTAGATGAGTTCTGGGGCACCCAGTGCACACACGCACCTCACCTGCCCTGAGAATGTGCAGAACCTCCCTGTTCAGCTGCCATGTGGCCCCAAGAGGGATCACAGCCCTTGCCAGGCTGATCTTGCTCCTTCTGGAACTCCTACCCACAGCACCAAAGGGCAGCTCTCCAGCCTGCTCAGTTGCTGCCATATTCCCCCAACCCCCATGCCCAGCAACACACAGCATGGAAGAGGCTTTTTCAATCGGTTTATTTGACTCACAGTCAGTGCACATACTCTACCATACGGATTTTGGAAGCTGCAACAGATTGGGTGCTAGAGGGCAGTGCGTCGACGCGTAAACAAGGACAAGATAAAGATGCCACTGCTGTGTGATTGAGGGGCAAATCAAGTGGGCCTTGGCCCAGGGTCACATTCACAGCGTGGGGTTAGTGCAAATGAACGGAATGTCGGGGTGAGTGCGTGGGGGCTGCTCCCTCCCCGGCATCGGCCCCAGAGAGGAGTGGGAGCCAGAGCCATGCCCAGCACCGCCCCTCCTCATGGCATCCGCTTGCCCCTGGGAGCCCTGTCCCCCCTTCCAGGGAGGGACGTGGTCCTAGGAGCCAGTGTTCAACTCCAGACCAAACAGGAGTCTTTTCTCCTGAGGGTCTCACAATCTGGAAGGGGCCGAGCCTCCAAATAAAGTGTTAAGGCAATAAATAAAACTTCCCAGCCCAGACGGAAACACTGGCAAAGTAGTCTGCAGGAAGGGACTGCCAGAACCCCTGTGGCTGCTGGGCCAAATGCTAACAACAGAACCGGCTGCAGGGCCTGGTGGTGCCAGCCCTGAGGCAGGCTCTAGGCCCCAGCGTGGTCCCAGAGTGCTTGTGCGTGGAGTAAAAGGCAAAGTGCCGAGCCCAGCTTCTTGTCTGAAAGAGGGTGGGGAGCTGGCCCCAGTGCATGTCCTCTGCCCTTCTAGCTGTGGTCCCTGGGCCCTTGCCTCTGGGGCGGCAGCCAGCAGCACAGGTGAGCTGCCTTTGTGAGCCCAGGTTAGAACCCTCAGCTGGAGCCTAGCACCACCAAGGGAGTTCCAGGTCTGTGGGAGAGTGGGGAGTGCCCAGCTTCACTCCTCCATCTTTGGTGGTGGCAGAGGTGGGCGGGACACTTTGGCAGGGCATGGAAGTGTGGGAGGCCAGCGTCCTGGGTGGTGCCTGGGCTCATCAAGGGTTGATCCCAGCCCAGATGTGAGCACAGGGGGAGTAGGCCCATTCCTGGTCCCTCTGGATGGTGGGACTGCACAGTTGCAGGTGGCTCCTAGCCAGGACCCAGTGACTGCTGTCCTACCCTTCCCTTCTGTCCTGGCACTCCTGGAGCGTCTGCAGCCCCACGGGCGCTGGACGGTCATGGTCCCCTATTCTGAACACCCAAGCTCTCCTCTCAGTTCTCCACAACTCCTTCCTCTCTCACTGCGTTCCCCCCACCAGGCCCTGCTGACATTGGCACTGTCTCTGCTCCCCAGGGAACCTAGGGAAGCTGGTTAGGCTCCTAGTAGTTCCAACCCTCCCTGTGGAAATTTGTCATCTGGGTCTTGGGATTCCCAGATGAGGGGGTGGAATAGGCTCAGGGACAATGGCCCTTGGCCACCCAGGCCTTTGGATGCCAACCCAAAGGAAGGGAGGGGCGGCCTTCTCTGCCGTTACCCATCACCCATGTAAGCAAGGCCCACTCCAGCCTATGCCTGCCATTACTGCAGCTCTGACAGGGGCCCATTCTCTTGAGGCAGGGCCCCGTTCAGCCTAGTGCTGCTGGCCACCGGCACCCCCAGATAGCCCAGCAGGATCTCGCTGCGGCGCCGAGACAGCTGCAAGATGTCATCTGCCAGTGCTGGCACCGATGTGTAGCGCATGTTGTCCAGGTCAAACATGTCCCTCAGGTACTGCACAATCTGGTGCTGGGGGTGAGGGACTGGTGTTGGGCTTGGGTCCTGTGACACCCTGTAAAGTCCTCTCCACCACCAGGCCTCAGCTCACCCCCCCTCGTCGGGCACCTGCCATCCTGGCACTCCTTCTAGATCTTTCCTCTGCAGCAGTGCAGGCCCCCACCCTCTCTGGCACTGAGGAGTGCCTGTATCAGGAGAAGGGACCTTCCCATGTACCTTGAAGAAAGCACACACTTCTGAGAGCTGAGGCTTGGGTCCGAGAAAGCCAAAGGCGAGCACAGGACTAACATGCTCCGATACGGAGTAGAAATGGGAGATGAAGCCATCAGGCACCTGTGGTAGGTATAAGGGCTGAGGACCAAGCTGGGATTGGGAAGGGGGATCATCTACAGGCCCATCTATGTCCTGGCTCAGTGGCCCTGTGTGTACTGCTCACTTGGAGTGTATACTGCAGGGTAGCTGGGAGAGCTGCCTCAGGTGGAACTGGGGCTCAGCAAGAGCCCAAAGCACTGGCCAGGGCAGCTGGTACTAGCTGGGTAGCATAGCCTGGTAGACACGGGGCATAGTGAATCTCAGCTGTGATGGAGCAGATGCCAGCAGCCCACTGGGCAGGAGGAAGGGCTCTGTCTACTCCTAGCCTCTGTCCACTGGCCTGCCCTCCCTCCCTTCTGGGGTGCTTTTTCTCCTCTGCTGAGTCCATGGACATATGCTGATGGCTGCCCTGGGCTGTGCCTGGGGGAGGAAACAAGGTGGATCTATACAATGTTAGGGTTCCTGGTCCAGTGGAGAGAGAAATGGCAGGTCAGTGAGTGTGGGGAGTGAAAGCCCAAAGATGGCATGGAGGGGGGTGCTCTGGAGACCTCCCTGTACCTGCCCCTTCCCTACCCAACCCAACCCAACTGGATAGGAATCCTGATCAGCACAGTCTTCCCCAAGGGGTGTGGTCAATCACTCACCATCAGAAGCCTCCTTTTGGCTTTCAGGACAGACCAGCAGGCAGTGGCTAGGGCCTAAAACACAGATAGGCCCCCATCCCGGAGTTAGAATACTATAACCCACAGCCCTGCTAACCCCCCAGCTCAGGACAAGCCCTCCCCACAACTGAGCCCCACCCAACCAGCAAGATGGCACTCTGTGCCCAAGTCTGGCTTTATCTCTCCCCTAAATTTGGCATCAGAGACCCTTTTTAAAAAAAAATATTTTATTATTTTTATTTTGTGTATGAGTTTATTGCCTGCATGTATGTGAGTGCACCCATGTTGTGCAATGCCGCGGAGGTCAAAAGAGGGATTTGGTTTCCCCTGGAACTGGAGTTAAGGACGCTTCGTAGCTGCCATGTGGGTGCTGGGAATCGAACCCAAGTCCTGTGCAAGAGCAGTCAGTGCTCTTAACCGTCATCTCTCCAGCCCCAAAAACACTTTTTTTAAAAAAGAAGTATTTTATTTATTATTTTTTATTTTATGTGTTTGAGTGTATTGCCTGCATGTCGTGCAGTGCCCACAGAGGACAGAAGAGGCCGTCCAATCCCCTGGAACTGGAGTTAAGGACGGTTCATAGCCGCCATGTGGGTGCTGGGATTCGAACCTGGGTCTTCTGCAAGAACAACCAGTGTTCTTAACCGCTGAGCCATCTCTCCAGCCCCCACTTACTTTTTTTTTAAACATATGTGTGTGTACCTGCATGAATTTACATGCACCATGTGTGTGAAGGTACCCATAGAAGCCAACCGGAGTTACAAGTGGCTGTGAGCGACCATATAGGTGCTGCCAACTAAACTTGGGTCCTCTGAAACAGGAGTAAATGCTCGTAACCTCTGAGCTGTCTCTCCACCCCAGACACACCTAATTTTGAATCTAGGCTCTCTAACCCTTATTACTATGGGTTCCTAACTAGGTATTTGTCTTCCCCAAGCCTCAATTTCTGCCTCAGTAAAATAGCCATGACACAGCATCCCACCCACCTCATTTGGTGGCTGCAGGAAACCAGAGTGTGTCTGTGAATGGCCCAGTTGAAGACTAGTCTTCAGCAGTACAATGTTGCCAAAGTGTCACTGCTAGCTGTTTGTTTTGGGGGTTCAAGGAAGTTTACCACCACCACCACCCCTTTTTTTTTTTTTTTGGTTTTTTTGAGACAGGGTTTCCCTGTAGCCCCAGCTGTCCTGGAACTCACTATGTAGAACAGAATGGCCTTGAATGCACAGAGATCCACCTGCCTCTGCCTCCCGAGTGCTGGCATTAAAGGCATGTGCCACCATGCCGGCTTTATCCCTATTTTAACTTGACAGGATACATTAAAACTGAATGGAATCAGTGCCATCCCAGAGCAGGGAAGGGCAGGTGAGGCACGATGCCAGTGGGAAAGCACACCCTGCTGGTTCAGAGCCAGAGTGCTGCATTGCCTGGAGAAAGCCCCGGCCTGGCACCCCAGGTCTCAGGGGGACAAGGGCTAGCCCAAGAGTGGAAGGGCTGGGACATGGATACCCAATCCTAGTGTCCCACTCTAGGGACAGTAGGAAGGGAGACAAATGAATGCCCAGGGTCATGTAACATGCACGTATGGGAGAGGGACAGTGGCGTACCGTTTCCTTGAAGCTGTCAGACAGCCAGCGGTTCCGCAACACAGCCAGCACCGAGGACGGGGGGTTCTCAAGGTCCTCGAAGGCATCCATAAGGATGAAATCGAGCACAACATCAAAGAAGCTCATGCATGCCACCTGTAAGAGGGGAGCTGTGCTTGACACGTAGGGAGACTGGAACCCCGGCTCTGTGCAGGGGTCAGCCAGCTCCGGTACTTAAACAGATGCAGAGCTGGGCACAACCCCATTCCCTGTTCAGTGACCTCAGTCAGTGGTAAGACATGCCAGGTAGTTCAGTAGGAGCTGACTTACCCCACGGCCCTCCAGCTCCAGGCGGGTGGTGGCCCAGGTCTCAGGCCTCAGGGCATAGTTCAGCATCTCTTCGTAGGTCTCCAGGAAGCCTTTGGGACTCTGTGAGGAGAAGCACAGCCTGTTCTAGTTGTGGGAGAGGCTCTGAGACCCAGTTGGACAAGATTCAAAGGGGCAGGAACGTGCAAAGACAGGGCCCCAGAAAGGCAAGAAGTGTCTTCTGCCTGAATCTTCCAGAGAATCAGGGTGTGTCGCGTGGATTCCATATCAGGGCACCCAGCCATATCATTTACCCAGCTAGCTCATTTACCAAGCACCTGCTGCCTTGTGGGAGGGGGACATGGCCAGGACATGATTTCAGCTTGGAGGTACCCAGGAGAAGGTGCAGTTTTCAGGGGTGAGATGCATGGGGCTGTTCTGCAGGAGCTGACCTCCCATCTGTGTTGCCATCAGCCCAGCCTGGACCTAAGCACCCCATAAGCAGCAAAGAAAGCTGCTTACAGGGGCTCTGTGTGGCTTAGTGGGACAAGCCTGCCTAGGAGCCTGGCTGATACATAGAAGTACATCCACTCACAGGGTCACCAGGGTCAGAGAGGTTTCAGCCTTGGCCCATGGCTGCAGTTAGGAAATTACCTGGTGGTACAACCCTGGAGCTTGGCACTTCCCACAGTGCCAGCATTTTCAAAGATGTGGCCTGGTCTATGTCCACCTGTCCGGGGGCCCTGATAGGGCCCCACAGATTCCTGCTCCAGTCACAGGGCTCAGCGTGGTGCTTGGCAGCTGCCAAGGACCTCTGCTACTTCATAAAATAACAAAGCCTAATGTTACACTGGGGCAGAGGTGGCAGAGGCCTGCTCAGCATGGCCTGGTCTTAAGCTACCCTCACTCCTGGCCTCCTCCTACTCCTGAGAGGACATGGGAGCCAGCTAAGAGCACAGGCTGGACCCTCCGACTTGGCTGCAAAGCCTGGCTCTGTTTCACTTGCTCAGCAGCCCCTGCAGGCTCCTTTCCCTCCCTAGGCTGTTTCCTCCCAGTTAAACCAAGACTGTGGCAAGGCTCGGATGAGCTGCTGGGGGTAGAGAAGCAAATACAGCTCACAGAACTTTGGGGCAGGTGGCAGGAGCAGGAGTAATCACCTGTCGAGAGTTATTGGAGCTCTGCACTGGCCTTGGGCACAGCTGCATCTGGCTCGTGGCCTGGGGAGGGGAGAGGGTACCACAAGTAGGTTGCAGAGTGACAAGGCCTCAGAGGGAGCGCCCCGGTTCCTCTCAGTCATCAGGCCATATACCTTTGCATATGCTTTTCTACGTGTATTTCACAACAGAGCTGTTTAAGGAGGGGGCTGGAGAGATGGCTCAGTGGTTAAGAGCACTGGCTGCTCTTGCAGAGGACCTGGGTTTGGTTCCCAGCACCCACACAGTGGCTAACAATTGCCCCTAACTTCCAGGTCCAGGGAAACCAATGCCCTCTTGAGACCCCCATGGGCATTGCATGTACAGGTGCACTTACATACATGGAGGCAAAACGCTAATAAAATAAAAATAAGTACAATACATAAACAACTGAAGAACAGTGTGCTGGGCTCAGAGGGGCGGCTCAGAGGGGCAGCACAGGAAACGGGCCAAAGCAGGGAAAGGGTCTGGCATACATCCAAAGCCCTAGGCCACCCAACTGCACAGGGCAAAGTATGCTCAGCAGAGCCATTGAACAGTGCTCAGAATGTACTGAGGGCAGCTAGACCAGGAGGTCTCAAGCAGGCAGAGAATGAGGGCAGATGCCGGGCTTTTAACTCTATTCCTCCAGTGAGGGAGGGCAGGAAGGGGCCTAGTCAATAGCTTTGCTCCAGCAGGACATAAACAATCCCAGCACTCAGGAGGCGGAGGCAAGAGGATGGCCATGAGCCTGAGGCAGCCTAGGCTACAGAGTGAGAAAAAAAACAAAAAAAGGACTGGTGAGATGGCCCAGCAAGTCAAGGTACGCTGATGACCCAGGACAGATCCCTGAAACCCACATGATGGGAGGAGAGAACAGACTCCCATAGGTTATCCTCTGACCATCATATGTGCACCACGGCACACATGCAAACCCCCACCATGCAAAATAAATAAAAAATGTAATTTAGCCTGGTGTGGTAGCACAGGTCTTTTTTTTTTTTTTTTTTTAATCTTTTTGAGACAGGGTCTCCCCGTAGCTCCAGCTGTCCTGGAACTCACTATGTAGATCAGGATGGCCTTGATCTCCCAGAGATCCATCTGCCTCTGCCTCATGGGACATGCCTTTAATCCTAGCACTTGGGAAGCAGAGTTCTAGGCCAACCAGGGCTATACAGTGAGACCCTGTCTCAAAAAAAAAAAAAAGAAAACGAGGAGCTGGAGAGATGACTCAGCCCTTAAGAGTGGTAGCTGCTCTTGCAGAGGACCTGGGTTTGGTTCCCACACAGTGGCTAACGACTATCTGAAACTCTAGTTCCAGGGGATCCAGTACCCTCTTCTGGCCTCTGTGGGCACTGCATGACACAGGTACACTTATATACATGCAGGCAAAATACTCGTACACACAAAATAAAAGTAACTTTAAAAAAAAAGTAATTAAAAAACAAAAAACCAAACACCAACCTGGTCTACATAGTGACTTCTAGGCCAGCTAAGACACGTAGTAAGGCCCTATCTCAAAAAAGAAAAAAAAAATCCCCCCCAAAATGACAATAAAATAAGCTGGGCATGGCAGTGTACCCTTGTAATCCCATCATCTGGGAGGCAGAGGCAAGAGGATCAGGAGGTCATCGTTACCCTCTGCCACAGAGCCAGCCTGTTACAGGAGATCCTGTCTCAAGAGACTTGCTCCAACCCATTAACAAAGAAAGGGACAAGTGGGCAGTAAACATCAGAAGTTGTGCAACCATCAGCAAAGGGCCATGGAGCACAGGATGAAAGGGCAGAGGTGAGGATTACAAACAGCTAGTAGCACCCAGACAAGAGAACACACTCTTACATTGCCACCAGGGACCGAAGGCCTTTCAGAGCATAAACTGGCAGGATCTGAGATACAGACATCCCAGGCATTCATGGGAATGATGGGAGTATTAACAGCTGATGGTGAAGAGCAGATGCCACCCTGACCTCTGTCCACTGAGGACACACCAGAGCTAATCCACATGATGGAGCACTCTGCTGTCACTACCACCACAACATGCTGATATGGGGTGGGTGAGCCACCCTGTACCCACCAAGCCATCAGAAGGGAGGGAGCACAGGCTGGGGATGTGGGCAACAAGAGCCGTAATCAGAATGTCCGTGGAATGGGCAGACCTACATTCTGGACTGTGGTAAGGGTCATCTTGGGCACATGCAGGGCACATTCTATGGTTTGCATTTTGTAACTGGTAAGTTTTATAACCACGTGTTGGAGTCACAGGAAAGAATATTTATCTCTGCTTTCCAAGTTGGGACACAGGAAAGACTCAGTGCTCTCCTACACCCTCACAGCCACAGGAAGATGCAAAGTTCCTCCACTTGGCTCTAAAGTGTTTGTGTATACTTATATGCATGTGGATGTGTGGATATGTGCATATGTGTACACACATGTACGTGTGCATGGAGGCCAGAGGTCAACCTAAGGCATAATTCTTCAGGCAACATCCACCTCACTTTTTGAGACAGGATCTCTCACTAGGGCTTGGGATGCACCAAGAACACTGATGACCAGTGAACCCCAGGGATCTGCCTGTCACCACCTCCCCAGCACTGAGATCACAAGCACACACTGCTGCACATGGCTTTTTATACTTACACGGGCTCTGGGGATCTGAATTCATGTAGTACAACCAACACCAAATGAGCTGTTGCCCCGCCCCAAGCAGTTTTGTTGTTAAGATTTTTTTTTTTTTTTTTTTTTTTTGTCTTTTGAGACAGGGTCTCCTTGTAGCCCCAGCTGTCCGAGAACTCACTATGTAGACCAGGCTGGCCTCGAACTCACAAAGATCTGCCTGCCTCTGCCTCCCAAGTGCTGGGATTAAAGGCATGCGCCACCACGCCCAGCCCAAGTTTTTTTTTTTAATTTACTTTTATTTTATGTATATGAGTGCATTGCCTGCATGTATATAAGTGCACCCATGTCATGAAATGCCCACAGAGGACAGAAAAGGGCATCAGATCCCCTGGAACTGGAGTTATGGACAGTTGTTACCTGCCATGTGGGTGCTGGGATTCAAATCCAGGTCTTCTCCAAGAACAGACAGTACTCTTAACCGCTGAGCCATCTCTCCAACCCATGTTGTTTTGTTTTTAAAAGAACTAATTAGGGGCTGGAGAGATGGCTCAGAGATTAAGAACACTGGTGGTTCTTGCAGAAGACCTGGGTTTGAATCCCAGCACCCACGTGGCAGCTAACAACCGTCTGTAACTCCAGTTCCAGGGGATTTGACAGCCTCTTCTGTCCTCTGCAGGCATTGCATGACACGGGTGCACTTATCTACATTCAGGCAATACACGCATACACATGAAATAAAAATAATAAATAAATTTTAAAAAAAAGAGCTAATTAAAGCTAGGCGTGGTGGCGCATGCCTTTAATCCCAGCATTTGGGAGGTGGAGGCTGGCAGGTCTCTTTGACATCAAGGCCAGCCTGGTCTACATACTAACTTTCAGGCCAGTTGGGGCCACAGGGAGCCCCTGTCTCAAAACAACAACAATAACAAACCCCCAAACAAACAAAAAAGAACCAACCAGTAGCCAAGGAAACAAAGCAAAGCAAAAAAAACAGAAATAAGCTTCTTAGCCAGAGATTGTGTGGAAGCATCTGACACAGCGGCCCCTCGCTGGCTACCTTCTCGGCCTTGGTCATCAGGCCTGACACCATCTGCCGGCCAACCTCCCCAAAGAAGATCTGGTTGTTCCTGTCTTCTAGAAGTCCCTGCGGAAAGAGGAAGGGGGTGAGCTGGCAGCCTTCCAGAGCCCACGGAGAAGGCAGAGCCATGGCTGGGCAGATGATCGATCTACACATTGGGACCCTGTATGGGACAGACTGATACGCTCCCTGAGAGGCCCCTGCACCATACCCACCTTGAAGGCCTGTCGTATACAGTGCAGCTTGGCCAGGAAGTCCTGGTCACTGTAGCAGCCCAGCAGTTCTGTCCTGAGGAGAGACACAGATGGTGTCACCCAACCTGGTCCTGCTCAGCAAAGCCCCACCCTATAGGGAGGGTGCACCTTCCAGGGAAAGGGGGACGAGATCCAGCTTATACCCACTTCAGCCTGGGATTCTGACCTCTGGCTGCTGTCAGCCCCTCTTTAGGCCTCAGTCTCCCACCAGACAAAGGCAGAGGGTAACTGGATGCTCTCTGAGGCAATACTGGCCTCTCGGACACTGGACACAGGTGGCAGGTCTGGTTATGGAACCTGGGCTGGCCTCAGCCTCCTGTAAGCCTCAATCAACCCTCACCATGTTTGACCACCATGGCCAAGCAGCTCCCAGATGGCAGCTCTGTCAAATCACGGCACCACTAGTCAGAGCTTTCAACTGTTCGTAGTCGGTGGACTTTTTTTTTTTTTTTTTTTTTTTTTTTTTTGAGACAGGGTCTCCCTGTAGCCTCAGCTGGCCTGGAACTCACTATGTAGACCAGGCTGGCCTCAAACTCACAGAGATCCTCCTGCCTCTGCCTCCCAAGTGCTGGGAATAGAGGCGGCTACTACACCTAGCCCGTCAATGGACTTTGAAACGTACTTAAATCTACAAGCCATGTTCAGAAAACTAAGTACTGAGTTCCACACCATGTAGCAAAGTTCACTTAAGAGGGCCAAGAGTGGGGAGGGGCTCATGGGGCGCCCACCCTCCCTGAGATTTACATGTAGTTAATTAATGGTTGATGGGAGAGAGACATTTTCTTCAGTGGTGTGGCCGCTGGTAAGGTGCCTGTGCTCCTGTCAGCAAATTCACTGGTCACATAACACAAAAAGACATGATATAAATAGAGGGGTACTTGGGAAGAGGAAGGAAAGCGTGGAGCAACAAAGGGGGCAAAGGCTGAATATGATCAATAGGCAGTATGCACATGTATGAAAATGTCATAATGAAACCCACTATTATATATATATGGAATATATGCTAATAAAAATGGGTTTTTTTACATTTTTATTTATTACTTTTTATTTTATGTGTACGAGTGTATTGCTGGCATGTAGGTAGGTGCACCTGTGTTGTGCAATGCCCATGGGGGGCATCAGATCCCCTGGAACTGGAGCTACAAGATGGTTGTTAGCCTCCCTGTGGGTGCTGGGACTCAAAACTAGGTCCTCTGCAAGAGCAACCAGTGCTCTTAATTGGTGAGCCATCTCTCCAACTCCCAAAATGTTTTCTTTTTTAAACAGGGCCCTGGGCTGGTAAGATAGCTCAGTTGGTAAAGGTGTCTGACACCAAGTCTGAAAACCTGAGTTCAATCCCCAGAACCCTGGTGGGAAGGAGAGAACTAATTCATGCAAGTTGTCCTCTGACTTCCATACATACACCCCTAGCACAGGCATGCACAGACACACATATGCACACACACTCTGAGGGTCTGGTGCCTGGCATGGTGGCGCACTCCTTTAATCCCAGCACTTAGGAGACAGAGTTAGGCTACGTGGATCTCTGTGAGATTGAGGCTAGCCTATTCTACATAGCAAGTTCCAGGATAGTTGGGGTTACAGGGAGACCCTGTCTCAAAAACAACAAAATAATAATAATAAATAAATAAAAATAGCTAAGCATAATGGTACATGCCCTTAATCCCGGCATTCAAGAGGCAGAGGCAGGTGATCGCTGAGATTGAGGTCAGCCTGACCTACCTAGTAAATTCCAAGCCAGCTGGGATTATAGGAAGACCCCGTCTCAAAAAAGACCAATAAATAAATAAATAAAATAAAAATTAATTAAAAATAAAATTTAAAGAGAGGTTTAAGGGCCTGAGGAATGGCTCAAAAATAATAAACAAAATAAAGCCAGGCATGGTGTCGCATACCTTTAGTCCCAGCACTCCAGAGGCAGAGGGAGGCAGATCTCTGTGAGTTCAAGGCCAGCCTAGTCTATATAGTGAATTCCAGGCCAGCTAGGGCTACAGAGAGATCCTGTCTCAAATAAACCAAATAAGTAAATAAAAAAAACAAAATAATAAAAATTTAAGTTAAAAGGCTCTTTCGTAAGACCCAAGTTCAGTTCCTAGGACATCAGGCAGCCATAACTATCTGTAACTCCAGCTCCAAGAGAATCCAACACCCTCTTCTGGCCTCCACAGGTACTGCATTCACATACACATACCCATACGCAGACACACAGACACACACAAATTAAAAACTTGGATCTCTGTGAGACTGAGGCCAGCCTGGTCTACATGGTGAGTTCCAGGCCAGGTGGGGCTAGAGGGAGACCCTGTCTCAAAAAGACCAAAAAAAAAAGATTTACAAAGAGGGCTTGGGCCTGAGGAATGTAGGTTAGATGGTAAAATGCTTGACTAGAGTGCAAAGAGCCCTGGGGTTTGAGCTCTGGCACACATAAACTGAGTGTGGTGGTGCACATCTGTGATCCCAGCACTTGGGAGAATCAGATGTTCAAGATAGTACTCCAGGCCAGCCTGGGCTACATAGCAAGATGCTATCTCAAACTAACCTACCCCCAAAAGACAGATAAGGCCCGCTATAAGCACAGGACACAGAGGCATCTGCCAGGGCCACACACCACAAAGTGAAGCTACAGGAAACTTGGGCCTGTTTCCAAGGCTGTACTTTATCCCATTTGTTTGTTTCCCTCCCTCCCTCCCTCTGTACTAGAGATTGAGTCCTCAGGGCTGTCTCAGGTCCTTGTACACTAAGCAGAAGCACTCTAGCACTGAACCCCAGCCCTAAGTTTGTTCTGATACCCAGGGTCAGGACACTGGACATGTCCACTGTGGTGCTACAGCTGGACCTCTTGAGAACAAACACATTTTTTATTAACCACATTGATCTTTACTGTGATCGTTATGGTCAGTTAGATGGTCCTCTGAGGACCCAGGCCCTCCTTGACTGGAGGCAGTGGTTATGACCCTGCCACCCCCGACCCCAGTCAGCCTGCATTCACCCAGTGACCCAGTGGTAAACTAGTCACCATGGGCTTCTGTACCTCCTCCCCAGGGCTGGAGCTCACCCACAGTTCTGACATCCTCTCACCTGAGTGTTCGGCAGGGCACCTTGCCCTCCTTCACCAGTTGCAGGGCTTCCTCATAGGCAGCAGCAGGCTTGGAGAGGGGGAGTGGGTAATCTCCAACCTTCAGGGACTCAAAGAGCTGGGGGAGAGGCCAAGGACGTTAATGAGTGGCACCCCATGGGGGCCAGAGCACCAGCCTGGACTTCCCAACAAGGGCCACCCCAGAGGCCTGCCCATGTCCCCATCAGGGAGATGCCAGGGGCATACTGGCACATGAGACAGAGACAGAAGGCCTAGGTTCATGTTCAGCCCTAGCCCTCAGTAACCCTACCTCCAAGTGCCTGCCCAAAGGGACTGTCTACAGGACACATGCTCTAACCCTCTGGTCCTAAGCAAGGACGCCATGTCTCCCCCACCCCACAGCCATGGCAGCAGACTAATGCCAAGCAACAGACCAGTGGGTCAGAAAAGCAAGAAGTCAGTGTGGACTGGAACCTGTAGGCTGTAGGGAAACCTGTGTTTTCACCTAGGAAACCCATAAACACGCAGCTTTGCAGGTCTCTCTGTCCTGGTACCTTCGCAGAGTCCCCAGGAAGCAGGGCTTGTACCCAATGATACTCCTATGTCCCCACTGCCCAGTACTGGCCCAAAGGGATGGGCCCAAGCCCTCTGGGTCTCCTAACCCAAGTCACCTCAGTGGCTGAAAAAAAGGAGTCTTCTGAGGTCAGGCTGTCCTCATCATCGGCCCGCAGACGTAGCGAGCCCTCTGTCAGGGGCAGCATGAGGGTCCTCTCTAGAAAAGAGTGAGACTAGAATGAGCTGGGAGCCCTTGACAGGAACCCTGGCACATGGCACTGCCACCCAGACCCCCAGAAGCTCTGCCTGGGCCAGACAAGGGAAGGTACAAAGCTGCCCTGAGCTCCATGAGGATACCGGGCTTGTCCTGATGCCGTCAATGCTTACAATATACTCAGCGGTGGCACTGGGTAGATGTGGCCACCAGGCTGCTGAGGACTGATGATCCCTGGATCTGAGGCTTGGTGACCTCTCAGCATTATAGGAAAAGACTCTTATTCTGTGTTCCCACAGGGCTCGGTGTACCCTGGGATGGACCAGGGGATGGCATCCACTGAGGGAGGGCCTGGCACACAAGAAGGCATGGGAAGGAGGCTGGGGAAGCTGATTCCTTCTGTAGTGTCACATCCCTTCACCTCCAGAGTGACAGAAGATCTTCTTGTGGCTCCCAGGCTGCTTTTGACTAACCACCACGTGAGCCCCAAAGTTCTGAAGAGCCATCAGGGAGATGTGGACACAGCCCCAAGGCCATTCCCGAGAGGCCAGGGCAAGGCACGTTGACCATGGACTCCTGGAGCCTCATCTTGGCTTGGTTTCTGCCTGCCATCTCTCAGGGAATGCCTGTTTCCCTCTCTGTGCAGCAAGGTCCTGGGGACTGTTTCATCTGTGGCACTGGTGAACCAGGTCCTGGTTCTCTTGCCTCCTCCCAACCTCCATTCCTGGTACCCTGAACCTGCAGCAGCCTGCATGGCCCCACTCACCAAGGTCCAGCAGCATGCTGTCGGATGGGAAGGTGGAGCCGAACTCCTCCTGCAGGTGGTAGGCCCGGTGCAGCAGGGACTCCAGCCTCTCAGCAAACTCCCTCCTCTGTGACTCAGGCTGCAACAAAAACAATGACCCTCAACCAGAGCCACCAAGCTCCCCGTGCAAACGGGGCCCCTTTTCCTAGCCAGGCCCCCGAGGAAAAGCAAGAGGGCTCCAGGTCCAGCAGTCAAGAGTACACACTCTGGACCTGTGTTGCCCACTGCAGGAGGCACCAGCCATGTGCAGCTGTGAACCCCTGAACTGTGGCCAGACCCAACAGAGCCACGACATACATGTCAATACACATACCCAGAAGCTTAGTAGCAGAAAGACATGCAAATCTCTCAGCAGCCCAGGTGTGGTGGCATTCACCTGTATTTCCAGCACTCTAGAGCAGAGGCAGGAGAGGAGGATCTCTGGAGTTTAAGGCCAACTTGGACTATGCAGCATTCCAGGCTGGCTAGGGTTATGCAGCAACACTCCATCTCAAAAACAAAAACAACACAAAAACCCCCAACAAACTGGAATGAAACCTGAGCAGTTCTGACGCTGACCCTAGGCTGACATTCTATTTCAAATATACCAGGCTATGGAAGGCTATTATTAACCTTGCCTGGGGTTGGAGATATGGCGCAGCGGTTAAGAGCATGTATTGCTTTTGTACAAGACCAGAGTTCAGTTTCCAGCACCCATACTGGGCAGCTCACAACTACCTGTAACTCCATCTCCAGGAGATCCACACCCTCTTCTGGCCTCCAAGGGTACCTGCACTCATACATACATACTCCACCACAGACACACACCTACACAATTAAAAATAAATGAACCGAGCTGGGCATGGTGGCACACACCTGTAGTCCCAGCACTCAGGAGGCAGAGGCAGGCAGATCTCTGTGAGTTGAAGGCCAGCCTGGTCTACATAGTGAGTTCCAGGCCAGTTGGGGCTACAGGGAGACCCTGTCTCAAAAAGACCAAAAAACATAGAAAATAAAAAAATAAATACATTAACCTTATCCACTCTTTTTTAGTTTTGTTTGTTTTTAGATAGGGTCTCACATAGCCTAAGTTGGCCTCAAAATCATGGTGTAGCCAAGGATGACCTTGAAACCCCCCCAGTGCTGGGATTCCAGCCATACCGGTTTAGGCAGTGCTGGGGACTGAGCACAGGGCTTCCTGTGTGTCAGGCGCTGACTGTCAGCTGAGACACACCCCAACCCTCCTTCTTCCCCTTTTTCTTTTTTAACAGGCTCTCTAGAAAACTGTCCAGGTAACGCAAGGCTGTCTACTCAGCAGCACCTTCCTGGCCGAGTACACCTGTTCAGATCTCAGCACTACCAGTTCCAAACTGTGTGGCTTCCAGCAAACAGTCTACTTATCCTGAGCCTCAATTTCTCTGTCAGTAGTAGTATATGAAAGTACTCTGTGGGAGCCTGGTCATCACGGTAAGCAGGAGATGCTGGGATTTTGAGGTTCACTACCACAAGAGAACACTGGGGGCCTAGACTGAGCTGAGAACGAGCCGAGTTGAAGTCCCCTGCCATGTATGAACCCTGTGTGCCTGCAAAATCCCTGCCCTGTGGTCTCCAGCCTCCTCCATGGCCTCCCTGGAGAAGGGGACCAAACACAGCACTGCCATGTTAAGAGAGTAGCTGGGGCAGAGGAGACAGCTGTGGACAGATAACAGTTGTTCCTGTGGCATTGGGGTACCAAGGAAGGGGAGCTCCATGAGTCAACGGGGGTCAGGACCTACACTGACAAGGCTAGGCAGCAAAGGGCTATCTGCGAAGGACACAAACAGCAGGGGAACACTGGCGAGGTGGCGGGTGGGAGCTGGAATGGGGGCACAGCCTCCTGCGGACTCCATGGCTTGGCTGCTACCCTTGGCCTCCAGCCCCATACATGAGAGGTCAGGTGACACTCTCTCTACCCTGGGGCTTCAATGTCCTGGTCCCAGGGTGAAGCAAGAGCTGGCCTGACCACTCTTTCCATAGATGCTGCCAGAGCAGAACCTGCTCCTGCAGTAAGAAGACAGATAAGGGCTCATCAAGTCTGAGAAAGGGCCGGAAGACAGAGAGGTGCCATCACTGCATGCTCACTGCAGACCAGGAACCTGCCGCTCAGCCGCAAAGCATCCCTCTGAGGCTGGGACCTATGATCCCATTCCACAGAGAAAGCGCAAGGAGATTAAGTGGCCCAGGACATCTAGCTAAAATGTGGTGAGAAGGACTGGGCACAGACCTACAGGACTCTGGACCCAGGTCACACTGCTGGGCTCCATCACCCTCTGAGGCCGGTGGAGCTGGCCTGGCAGTTCTGGGAGATGTCTGCTAGTTCTTTGAGAAATGACCTCAGGTAGGCCAAAGTTTCACAGATGTGACATCAGAATCATAAGAACTCACATGCACATACCCCACCACAGACACACACCTACACAACTAAAAATAAATTAACCCTGTCCACTCCTTTTTGCTTTTTGGGGAATAGACATTTCTCCAGAGGAAACATACAGACTGGGGCCAGCAAGATGGCTCAGCAAATACAGGCACTTGCCACCAAGCCTGACAACCCGAGTTCGATCCGTGGGACCCACATGGTGGAAAAAGAGAACTGACTCTCATAAGATGTCCTCTGACTTACACATGTGCCTTGCAGCAAATGCACCCCCCGCCACACACAAAATAAATAAAAATGTGATAATTTTTTTTAAAGAAACACTAGGGGCTGGAGATGGACGGCTCTGTGGTTAAGCACACCGGGTGCTCTTGCACAGGACCCAGCTTTAGTTCCATGCAATTACATGGCAGTTCACAGTTGTCTGTAATTCTAGCTCCGGAGGGAGAGAGAGAGAGAGAGAGAGAGAGAGAGAGAGAGAGAGAGCAGACAGACTAGGGCTAGAGACATGGCTCGATGGTTAAATGTACTTGCTGCTCTTGCAGAGGACCAGACCAGTATTCAGTTCCCAGCCCACACACTGGCTCACAACCACCTTGAACTCCAGCTCCAGGAGATCCAATACCCTCTTCTGGCCTCTGTGGGCACTTCACTCTAGAACTCAGACACACATGCTGACACACAGCTGTACACATAATTAGGAAGAAAGCAGGGGTTCCATTCCCTGCACCACACATGCATGCGTGCACACACACACACACACACACACATACTTCAGAACAGCTGTGCCGAAAAGACAGATAAGAAGGGCTGGTGAGCACATGGGAAAACTGGGTCCTCACAAGCTGCCAAGGGAGTGGAAGATGGTGCGGCCACTTCTGGAAGACAGTAGTGGCAGTTCCTTGAAAGATTACTACAGCATTGCCATACAGGGAACGTGGAAAACTGGCAGCTCTGTGCCTACATAATGCACCCGAGAGACTTGACTCTGTAACTTGCACGTAAGCACTCCCACAATACTCCCCTAACAGCCCCAAAGCAGAGACAACCCAAAGCATGCACGTGGGGAAGAACGGAGAGACGCGGATGTCCTACACCACAATGTCACGCAGCCCTCAACAGAGAGGAAGTGGTATCTGTGGTCCAACCCAATACTGAAAACATTACACCACGCAAAGGAAGCCATCCACAGAAAACCTCACTGTACCACTAGGCTGATCTAGATGTGGAAAGGGTTGACTCATGGTTGTGGAGGGCTGGGGGGCAGGGATGAGGAAATGTTGGGGTGATGACTGAAGTATGTGGGGTTTCATAAATGATTAAGATCAAGATTGATGGCCACAACCCCATGAATATGTGAATATGCCGAAAGCCACTGACCTGCAGCGTACGTGGGTGAACTGTGCCGACATGAATACTGTTCAATACAGCTGTTTAATTTTTATTTATCTATTTGTTTTTATGTTATGTGCATTAAGTGTTTGGCCCTCATGGATAGAGGTAGACCAGATGAGTGCAATGCCTGTGAAGGCCAGAAGAGGGCATCAGATCCTCTGGAACTGGAGTTAACAGACAGCTGTTAGTCACTATGTAGGTCCTGAGAATGGAATCCAGGTCTTCCAAGAGTGGCCTCGGCTCTTAACCTCTGAGCCATCCCTGTGGTTGGAGAGAAGCTCAGAAGTTAAGAGCATTACTCTTGCAAAGGACCCAAGTTCAATTCCCAGCACTCACATCAGGCAGCTGTTGCCTGTAACTCTAGCTCCAGGGATGCCCTCTTCTGGCCTCGGTGGGCACCTGCACCCATGTGCACACACCCATACACAGACACACAGATAATTAAAAATAAAATAAAACTTGGGTCTGGAGAGATGGCTCAGAGGTTAAGAGCACTGACTACTCTTGCAGAGGACCCGGGTTCGATTCCCAGCACCCACATGGCGGCTATGAACCGTTCTTGACTCCAGTTCCAGAGAAATCCGATGCACTCTTCTGACCTCCGCGGCACTGCACGACACAGGAGCACTAACATACATGCAGGCAATACACTCATGCACATAAAAAAAAAAACAAAAAACTAAAAAGACTCCAGGGAGAAGCAAAGGGTTGTCACCAAAAGAAGAGACAAAACACCAACAGTGACTGCGAGCACCGAGCACCTCTGAGGACCAGTGGCCGTGGCAGCACAGGGGCTGCAGCCACGTTTGTGAGCTTTCCGAACAGCCGGGCTCTTTACCCTCCTAATACAGCCCTCTCTGCTGTTCTGTAAGGGTATTTAATGCTTTCACAGTAAGGAAAACAACGCAAGTTCTAACTTCATAACTTAAGAGTGTGACATGGTGGCGCACACTTGGGAGGCAGAGAGGCAGATCTCTGTGAGTTCTAGGCCAGTCTGGTCTACATAGTGAGTGAGTTCCAGGTCAGACAGGGCTAAATGGTAAAATCTTGTTGCCCCCCCCATAAAGAAAAGAGGGCCAGCATGATGGTTCAATGAGTAAAAGGCTTGCCATGAAGCCTGATGATCTGAGTTCAATCCTTGGACTCACATCCCACATAAAAGAAGGAAAGAACTTCCTCAAGTAGACTGTTCTCTGACCTCCACAAACGGGCTATGGCACTAAAAACAGTTTTTTTAAGCTGGTGAGATGGCTCAGCCGGTAAAGGCACTTGTTACCAAGCTTGATGACCTGAGTTCGATTCTTTAGGACTCACAAGGTGGAAGCAAAATACCAACTCCCACAAGTTGTCCTCTGGTCTCTACAGTGTCACCTATACACACACACACACACACACACATACACACACAAATAAATAAATGCAATTTTGGGGGCATTTTTGAGACAGGGTCTCTCTGCAGCCCCAGCTGGCATGGAACTCACTATGTAGACCAGGCTGGCCTTGAACTCACAGAGATCCACCTGCCTCTGTCTCCCAAGTGCTAGGACTAAAGGCGTGGGCCACCATATTGGCTATAAATGCAATTTTAGGAAAAGATACAAGGAGTCCAGCTGGGCATGGTGGCACACGCCTTTAATCCAGCACTTGGGAGGCAGAGGCAGGCAGATCTTTTTGAGTTCGAGGCCAGCTTGGTCTACATAGTGAGTTCCAGGACAGCTGGGGCTACAAGGAGACCCTGTCTCAAAAAAGAAAAAAAAAAAAAATAACAAGTGATAGATGCCAGATGTCATGGGCACCAAGGCCACCTCTCTCAAACCCCATCACTAACACAGGAGTGGGGGTGCTCATTGCCGGTCCACACATGGACAGGCAGAGGGGGCCTGTGGCATGTGGGGTCTCCTCTTCCCACCCCAGGCATGGTCCTCATGACTTCTGAGCTCAGCTGTCCACCAGGATGGCAGACAGGCACACTAGACACACTACACTGCATGCTGTTTCCCAGGCTCCTAAGCCAGCTAGCTGGCTGGGGGTCAGTGGCGGTGCAGTCAGCACAAAGACAGGATTGCAGGACACGTCCTCTGCAGGCCAGCCTCTCTGTGGGACCAGCTGCCACAAGGGGTCCTGGCCTGAGCCTGGGGCACACACCGGCCAGCAGGTGCTTTCCAGTCCCCTTGCCTGGGCAACATAGTCCCTGTGAAATTCCCTCAAGGTTTTTTGTTTGGGTTTCACTCCAAAGCGCAAGTTGATCTAGAGCTCACTTTGTAGCCCAGGCTGGCCTTGAACTTGCTATGATCCTCCAGCTTCTGCCCCCTAAGAGGCTGGGATTACATGTCGGGTGGCTCACAACCACTTGTATTTCCAGCTTTCCAGCTCCAGGGGACCCAGCGCCTCTAGCCTGCCAGGGCACCTGCCCCTGTACACATATCCACATAGAGAGACAGACGCATGTACGTACGTAGAATTAAGAATAAAACAAAAATCAATGAAGAGTAAAACACAAACAGCCCACAGTATTGTCGTAACATTTGCTTACACTTATAATACTCAAACAGGGGGCTGGGGGCGGAGCTCAATGTCAGACCACGTGCACAATCCATGCCAGGCTCACGGTTTAATTCCTACCACTGCACAAAAGGTTTCTTGGTTTTGTCAGTTGCTTTGTTTTGTTTTTGGTTATTTATTTGTCTGTTCATTTGTTTGGGTTTTTTCTTTTTTGTTTTTTTTTTGGTCTTTTTTGAGACAGGGTCTCCCTGTAGCCCCAGCTGTCCTGGAACTGTGTAGACCAGACTGGCCTTGAACTCATAGAAATCTGCCTGCCTCTGCCTCCCAAGTGCTGGGATTAAAGGCGTGCACCACCATGAAGGCTGTTTGTTTTTTTTTAATTAAAAAAAGGCACTGAAAAAAGTCAAGGAAATTGAAGTTTTCCGCCTTTGTCTCCAGAACTCTCTCCAGAGATCACCACTGTACCCTTTACCTCCATAAACGTGCACATGCACACCAGCATTTCCTACTGATTATACTACAAAATAATGTCTCACGAACATATATCCTAGAATATACATGGTGCACTTTTTATAGCAATGTTTATTTTCAGTCTTTTATTTATCTTTCCTGGGCCTGGTGACACATGCTTATGACCCAATGCTTGGGAGGTCAAAGGCAGGAGGATCAGAATTCAAGGTCATCCTTAGCTGCATGGTGAGCAGGAGGCCAGCTTGGTATACCTGAGATCGGCAGTTAAGAACACTGACTGCTCTTGCTGGGTTCGATTCCCAGCACCCATATCACGGCTACGAACTGTCCTTAACTCCAGTTCCAGGGGAATCCGAAGCCCTCTTCTGACCTCCGCGGCACTGCACGACATGGATGCATTTACATACATGCAGGCAATACACTCATACACATAAAATAAAAATAATAAATAAAATATTAAAAAAAAAAAACAACAACCAAAACAAGCGCTTAGGGATTTAGCTCAGGTGGTAGAGTGCCTCCCATGCACATATGAGGCCCTGGGTTCCATCCCCAGCACCAAATAAAACTGGGCATGGTGGGCTGGAGAGAAGGCTCAGCAGTTACGAGCCCTTGGTGCTTTTCCAGAAGACCTGAATTTGGTTCCCAATACCCACACTGATCAGTTTATACTGGCCTTTAACTCCAACTCCAGGGTATCTGACACCATCTTCTGGTCTCCTTGGGCACCCACACACCGGGGCAGACACAGACACACAAGTACACATAAATAAATCTTAAAAGGGAGGGGAACAGTCAGGCATGGTGGCACATACCTGTAGTCCTAGCACTTGGGAGGCAGAGGCGGGCGGATCTCTGTGAGATTGAGGCCAACCTGGTCTACTCAGTAAGTTCCAGGCCACATGGGGCTACAGAGAGACCCTGTCTCAAAAGGACCAAAAAAAGAAAGAAAGAAAGAGAGAGAGAGGGAGGGAGGGAAGGATGGAAGGGAGGGAAGGATAGAAAGGAGGGAGGGAGGGAAGGATGGAAGGGAGGGAGGAAGGAGGGAGGGAGGGAGGAAGAAAAAGAAATAAAGAGCCTGGAGAGATGCCTCAGCACTTAAGAACACTGGCTGTTCTTGTAGAGGACCAGGGTTCGGTTCCCAGCACCCACATTGAGGCTAACAACCTCAGTTCCAAGGGATCCAATGTCTTCTTCTGGCCTCTACAAATCTTGAAGGAATATGGTGCACTTACATACATGCAGGCAAAACACTCATGTATGTGGTGGTGCACGCATTCCTTTAATCCAGGATGTAGGAGGCAGACACAGGTGGATCTCCATGAAATCAAGGCCAACCTGGTCCACACAGAAAATTCTAAGCCAGCTGGGGCTACAGGGAGATCCAGTCTCAAAAAACAAATACTGGGCATGGTGGCACACACCTAGAATCCCAGCACTTGAGAGATGGCGAGAGGAAGGTCAGGAGTTCAAGGTCATTCTCAGCTACACAGTGAGTTCAAGATCAACCTGTGATACCTAAGACTCTGCCTCAAATAAATAACTAACTAAATAAATGAAGTCATAAGACTACTTAAGTATGTTTTTTTAAAAAAGCTTGGATGATGCTACCAAAATATATAAAGAAAACCCAAAAGGGCTTAAAAAAAATGGTTCAGCAGTTAAGAGCACTGGCTGCTCTTCCAGAGGACCAGGATTTGGTTCCTAGCACATACGTGCAGCTAACCACCATCTGAAACTTCAGTTCCAGGGGCTCTGACACTTTCTTCTGGCCTCTGAGGGCACTGCAAGCATGTGGGGAACATATATACATGTAGGCAAAACACTCATACATGTAAAATAAATAAATTTAAAAAAAAAAAGAGGCAGAGGCTGGAGACATGGCTCAGCGGTTAAGACCACTGGCTGCTCTTGCAAAGAATCTGGGTTTGATTCCCAGCGCCTACATGGTGGCTAACAACCATCTGTAACTCTAGATCCAGTAGATCCAATGTCCTCTTCTGACATCTTAGGGCATTGTGTGACAGGGGTGCACTTACACACATGCAGGCAGGCAACACACTCATACACATAAAATAAAATATTTAAATAAATAGGAAAAGGGAAAGAAAACCCAAGGCAACCATGAACCAAGGCCGATCTGCTGGGTCTGCCTCCAGCACACCTGCTGCTGCACAGAGTTGAGATAAGGGTCTGATTATCAGCCTGGGTCTGCTGAGTCATCCCAAGGCCAGGCACAGTGCTATACATTATGTATGCTACTGTACTTACTTTGAGTGGCACTCCATGGATGGACGACTCCAGTGGGTGCGCACTGGTAGACGGCACATTCTTGGTCTGTTTGCCTTCCGTTCTGCCATCCTTCTTAAATGGTGGGGGCCTGGGGGTCAGGGACAGGAGACGCGAGAGTACCTACCTCTGACAGTGCTTCTGACGCGGTCTCCACGTTCCGGAGGTCCCCTGGGGCAGGGGTGCTGCCACTGTCTCCCCTTTGGCCTACGCTCAATGCTTGCTCCCATTTCTGCAGAGCTTCCTCAAACAGTTCCATGCCTGAGCACATGTGAGAGAAGAGGGAGGGTCAGGCCCCAAATCTCAGTCCTGAGGGGACATGACAGAGTGTAGAGGCAGGAGGCCACGGCAGGCCGAGAGCCCAGCAGGCTGTGCAGCTGGGTCCTAACATTTCTTCAGGGTTACTCAGTTTTCATTCAGACAGGATGTGCCATCTATCCAGAAGGGGCTGGAAAGCATTGACTGGGGAGCTGGGGCCGATGGGGCAGGAACTGAAGAAGGGGTCAGAAGCCCACTCCTCCCTGGCACACTGCTTCCCCAAGGCCCTGAGCCAGCCTCCTGGCCGCACCTTGCACATACAGGCTCTCAGCGCTGCCGTCCATGGTGGGCACAGACTCCTCAATCCCTCTGGCTTCCCATGGGTCTGAGCACGCAGCTGTGGGGCTGGATGTGTTTACCACTACCATCTGGAGACCAAGGACAAGGGCAGGGAGTGAGCCCTTGGCGGGACCCCTTTAAGCTCACCCCCACTGCCTAACCACATGCCACACACCTTCCCAGATACTGCCCCTAAGTGAGCTGGGCCAGTGTCCACATCCTCAGAACCAGCTGGATCCACCAACTCAAATGCCTGACGATGGCCCACAGAAACTGCCAAGGCAGGAAGAAATATGGAGGCCGATGCCAGCCCCACATGAAAACCCCAGCCCTGCTCTCCTAGTCAGAGAAGTAAGACAGACAGCAGCCACCTTGTGTTGGAGCCTCTCGTTCACAAGGGCAAGGACCACTGGCTCACCCTGTATCCCAGGACAGAGCTGGCTTGGAGCTGGGGCCAGGTACATGCTGAATGATTAATAGGAGCACGAGGAAATGAACCGAGAGCTGTGATCCGGGGAAACAACCCTCTCTTTGTCTCACTATCTCTAGCCCATCCTAGGTACCACCCAGGTGCTTATTCAAGGTCTGAGGTGTGAGGATGGCAGGTGCTGTCACAGATAAGCTCCTCCCTTCCACACCCACACACCTGTCTCCCACTGGTGCCTTCAGGGATCAGTAACAGGCTCTGAAGCCCCCATGCAGACAGAAGGAAGGGAACTTGTCACCATCTCCCTACCAGTCCAGAAGCTTCCTGAGGGCAAAGTCTGAGAGTGCCCTGGTAGCCCCTACCCTATCAGCATCCCACCTGGGCTTCTCACCGAGGCCAAGCTGTGGGAGGAGCCTGAGTGCTTGCTGGGCTCGATGGAGGAGATGCCACTCAGAGTGTCATTGCTCTTGCTACTGGGGCTCTGAACCCTCCGGCTGGAGTAGCCTGTGAGGAGAAGGGTACGGATCAGACAGGTGTCCTCCTACCCAAACTCCCTCCCAGCCTCATCTTCTGGAAGTTCCAACCTCCTCAACTACCATATCAGCAGATCCCACTGAGCACATACACTTAGCAGAGCTGCTCAGAGCTGGGGCTGGGTACATGCTAAACGGATTAATAGTGTCAGAGTGAATGAACAGAAAGCTGAGATCCAGGGAAACAACCTTTGTCTTACTATCTCTAAACCCTCGACATATAGCCCATCCTGGGTACCCTCCTGCGGCCTGCTCGGCTAGCACAGGGCCAAGCCCTGAGCAGGGGTCCCTACAGACTGGAACAAGCTGAGAGCGAGGCTGGGACACTTCCTGCCTCCTCACTCAGTTTCCCTACGTGCTTGATTGAGTGGCTGGTTAAGAATTCTCTTTTCCAGGGGCTGGAGAGATGGCTCAGTGGTTAAGAGTGCAGACTGCTCTTGCAGAGGACCTGGGTTCGAGTCCCAGCACCCACATGGCAGCTACAAACCATCCTTAACTCCAGTTCCAGGGGAATCCGACGCCCTCGTCTGACCTCCTCGGCATTGCACGACATGGGTACACTCACATACATGCAGGCAATACTCATACACATAAAATAATAAAAAT